ATAGATGAATATTCTGTTTGTATTGTATAGATAGTTTATGGAACACTCGTATTTTTTTTTAATTAAAAATAGATTTAGCTGAACTTTTAAATTATAAATAGGTTTTTAAAGGTTACAAAATATTAAATTGGAAAAAGATAAGAAAGCCTTTAAAATACTTAATTAAAATACACTGTGTGGTAAAGTACAATTCGGACAGGATTAGTTTTACATGGGGAGGTGGGGTAATATAATTATTACTGATGTTTCGTCCAAATCCCACATGTCAGTAATATGTAGACTGCACGCTCCAACATGAGGAAAGATTCCAATGGCTTTTATCTGCTGTAAAATGAGTGTGAAATATCCCCAGGCTGTATTAATCCCATGGCATGAATTACAATGACAGTAAATATTCCTTCTTATCCTCTGAAAACGTTTTTGCGTTCTTTCGTAACTATGAAGGTGTTTAAAGAAGCATTTATTTGTATTCTCTCTGGCCCATTTCAAGCCAGTGTGCATTGTCCCGTCCTACCTGAAGGATACAGCTTAAAATGTAAAAATGTCTACAGTAAAATGACAGGGAAAAAAAAGTGGGGATGCACCAACATGGGAATTGTGGCCCGATGCCACAGATGTCTTTTACGTACAATGTCCTTTATGTACATACCAATGACAATACACAAATATTTATAAAATGAATACTCATTTTTTATGAACAGTGTGCTCCTACATCAGCAAAGATTCCTGCAAAATTCACCTACTGTAAAACAAGATAAACATATAACTCCATTTTCTATGAATCCTGTGTGAATTTCTGTGTTGGTGAATACTCATATTCTGTGGAAAAGTGCTTTTGACTTAGGAAGGCAAGTTATGTATCTATGAATGTATGTATGTGATATTTATTTGTTTGTTTGTTTAATGTGTAATCATGATGGCCCTACATTTTTAAAAATTGACATTCTATAAGGAATGTATTGTAAAGATCTGAGCTCTGGGCGTTCTTTCAGACTTCCGTCTCATATTCAGTGGTTTGTGTCAGTGGCTAAGCTGTGTCTGCTCAGAGTTCTGTAATTATATGTTGTCCAGATGGAGGCAGGTTAGTCGAGAGACAGACGAGAGCAGTGTGTCCAGTGTGTGATGTTAGGCTTCGCCTCTCTTTTGCTGAACGTTGATGACTGGAGATTTATGAGTGTGTGAGAAAAGCTTCCTGTTCCTCTGGGTAGTATTTTCTCTTCCCTTTAATGTAGTTAAGGAACAGTCAGTAAGGTGTGGTGTTTGTGCATCGTCATAGTTCCTGACGTGCATGTTTCTGAGCTGTTCAGTTCATACTTGTGCTTCATTTGTTTTTATGGATTTCAGTGCTACAAAATTTTCTCCATAATTCTGCCACATTCTACATAGACTGTAAACTCGCATTCACTGAGATTTATACCAGCATTAACAGAGATATACATGTAAAATATCAGATATTGGCATCGGCCCAGAATTCCCATATCAGTGCATCCCTACAAATTATATTTCTTAGCTACAAGGCTAATGTGACTAACAAACACTAGAATTTATTAATCGCGCAAATCTTTTCTGTAAACACTTCAGACTTCTCTCTACCTGCTCAAACCACATCCAGCTCTTTATTATGGTTGTTCTGACTTGACAGTGTGGTTTAGGGCACAGTTTGACTTACTTTAAACTACAAAAACGACTTCATTGTGTACCTAAATGCAGCAGACAGCTATTTCAGACAACAGATCTCCCCTGCAGAATCCACCTGCCTTCTATGTGTACAAATTTTGTTTGTTTTTATTAACTGATATGTTCAGATTGAAAATTCAAGATTAAGAGTTATTAATAAAACGGAAACAACAGGATGGCTGACATTTTTTCATAATTGTTGATCTGTTTCAAATTGTTTGAATGTGTCTGCACTGCTCTGTGCATGGGAGCCAAAGAGAAACACCATTTGAAGCACTGTTTCTTGTTTTCATTATGATTCAAGTGATTTAAGTGTTAGATTTTGACTAATTTTTTTGTGTGTGTTTTTTTTTACCTACTGTACTGTTTTTTACCCTTCTTCAGCTGAAAATCAAAAGCGCCACTTTTAACCAGTTTTGGTGGCCAAAATTTTGGTGCATGCCTAGTATAAACAATACATATCGCCCACCACTATGCCTTGTATAAGTTTGTTTAGATGTGTGTGGTTCTGAGTGCGGGACTCTGAGGCAGCAGAGCAGACTGTGGTGAAGGTCAGAGCTGTGTGAGAATGAAGACTGCATTGCTGTCTTGCTGCAGGTCTTCACTACAGATTAGTAGGCTTCAAGTTGTACACCACTCTGCAGTGTTACCAGCACATACTTGCTGCGTGTCAGTTAGACAGAGAAGGCTTGAATGTGTTCTGATCAGTTTCCCTCTATAGAGTGCTGAAGATAAAGAGAAGTGATGAGCCACTTCTTTGTTTATGTGAGCAGTGATGACTGAGTCTTTGTGAATTTACTGTAGACAGACTGATGATCTTTTAGCAAAGGCTCACAATTGTGTAATGCTTAAAGGCAACATGAATCGGAAATAATAATGCAGTTTTCTATCAGGGAGGTTCTGTGTGCTAACTGAGGCTTTTCACTCAACAGTAATTGGGGATTGGTGGGAGGAAATGGTGGAAGCAAAACGTGATGATACTAGTTATTATTTATCCCTGCCTGCTGATGCACGGTGATGTAATCAGAACTCAGAACACGGTTTAGAGGCAGACAAAAAAACATTACATTTATAAGAAAGCTAAGTATCTTTCAAATGAGATGATATGAATCATGATTAATATGACCAAGCAAATGAACTAAGAAGGTAAAAGGGTCACTTTTTGATTTCAGGTTGACTTTAAAACTTATGAGCATTATTTCAACTATCCTGTTACCCCATTGTTGTTCCATTGCTGAAGTAAGTGAACTAATTTATTTTGAAAGCTTCTCAGCAACTGGTTTGGTCTGTGTTTTGTGTGTATGTGTGTGCATGTCAGAAGTAGACCACAACAGCGTTGTGCAATAGCTGACTTTGTAAGGCCTAGGTTTAATGCTCTAAGATATGTCCTGCTGTGAACCTTGTAATAAAAAAAACTTCCCTTTGCAGTTTGCTTGTTGCAAGCAGATAATTACAGCAATCTTAACTCATCAGTAGACAGAACAAACAGCCCAGCACACAGCCGAACTCATGTTCTGTTACAGACTCTAATGGTGAGTCAGGTCTCTACAGTGCAATCATGTATGTTCAAGTTGGTCTGAAATAATCCTATTTGAAGAAATTTTATAATTTATTTATTGTTGTTTTTCAACCCTGTTGTATTAGAAAAGAACTGCACAAAATACTTTGCCCAAAGCAGTTAATCACTACAACTAGATGAATAAAATTAATTAATGCACTTAAGGTGTATGTCACATGAAAAAACAAAATACTGTGTGTCTGGCCTAAATGTGACTTAAATTCCTCTGTGTCTGCAAAAAGTTGCTATGTGATTCATAGGAAATAGACCTATCGTTTTAAATGACAGTGCTCAAAAACCAGAAAAAAGGCTGCATGGATTGTTTGAGAAAATGAATGTCATCATAAACTACATTCTGCCCTGCCACTTCTGCAACAGTATGTTCAACATGTAATCTGTTGCTGCAGAAAACGCTTGTGTTGTGGTTAAGACAGTTTAACTCTCAATAGGTTACACCATTACAAGTGACCTCTTAAAAAACAGAACAATAAATTAAATGTCAAACAGTTTTAGTTTAGAGAATTAATATATCCATGAAGTTTGTAGGAAGTATGTCTTGTTCCTTCCCATTGGGGGAATGAGATGACTGCATGACTAAATTGCTTGGGGGCCCGCAAATCTCAAGGGCCAGCACAGAAGAAGAGGCTGTATGGTAGATATTTGGTAGATACTATGAATTCGAATGATATAATTCAATCTAGAGAACGAACCTGCAAAGACTGCCCAGTCTGACTAATTGTAAATGCTGTATTTGTCATCTGGCTGGTATTTTTTGTGTGAAGATTTTAAAGATTTCAGATTGTAAGTTTGTCAGTTTTATTAAGAAGTTTGTCATAAGAGTTTAAAAACATTTTCTAACATCATTGGGAAACTGCAGCCAAAGGGCCAGTTGGTCAACGGAAGTGCATTGATTTCCTGAAATAAAGAATTTTTACATTAACTTGCATGAAAAGTTAATGACTTTGTTTGCTTCACGGTTTGGAGGTATGAGATTAAGTTCTGACAGATATGAGAGAATATTACGATGCGGGCTGCAGTTCCTATTTTACGTGGATCATCGTAACCCTGAGAGTGTTTTAGTGGTACAGCTTCTCCTGTGAACTATGCAGTGTTCGCTACAAAAGCATGTCTGTCCAGGTTTATGTGCTCACCTCACTGGCTAACAATATATCCTCACACTGTGGTCATAGTGAGCAGGGGTGAGAACACAGAGAGCAGAGGACTACAATTGGCACACTGTTTCTGAATGAGCGCAGAGAGAGCTGATATGTAAACAGATATCCCCGTTTTCGTTCTGTCCATTCTCTTGTTCCTTAGTGTGCTTGCCCTCTCTTTGCTTAAGAAAACATTTTGCGCTTTCATGTTTTGTCTTTTTCCCTTCCCTTTCCCTTAACTACTACTAGCTTAGTCCAATTTCTTTCTCCTGTTCTTTGCTTCCTCTTGCACTCTGTCTCTGTCCTTTTTGGTTGCTTTCTTTTTATTTCTTTATCCCCTTCTCTTTGGCTCTCTCTATCTCACTCACCCCTCCCTTCCTGTGTCTTCTCTCTGCTTGTTAGTGTGGTCAGAGTGAGCCTGGCGACAGTCCTATCCAATAGGCATTACATAATCCCTTGCAAGGATATTATTAACCAATAAACTGCAAACCCTTTTTCTCTGCAGGTTTAACTGTTTTGTTTTCGGTCATGTGGAAAATGTGTTCTGGACAGTCTTAACCAAAAAGAAGAAAGAATGCAGTGAATTAACATGTTCTGTTTTGTTTTTGCAGGCTCACTCTGACTCAAAGGCCGGGGGCCGCTCCAACATGAACCGCGGCCGAAACCCGCAGGCCACCACATCAGACGATCAGCCACACATCGGTAATTACCGGCTGCTGAAGACCATTGGAAAGGGCAACTTTGCCAAGGTCAAGCTGGCTCGACATGTCCTCACTGGGAAAGAGGTGAGGATCAATTTCACCCAAGACTAGTACCTGACCACATTTCACTGTGTCTGCAGTGAACAAAGTTATGTGATACAAATCAAGTAGATTTAATGTAAGTAGGCGGTTGGAAGTGCAGTGCTGGTCTGATTGCATTCCCATAGCATGATTTCTGATGCTTAGGTGCACACAAATGCAGTGGTTAAAATAAGGGATGTGCCCGGGTACTTGAGTACTCGGTTAACCATTTGAGGTGCCATTGTTTGAATACCGAATTCGCTGTTTGGATATTCATTATGTTTTATCATGAGAAAATAAGAGAAAAGAAACAGGCTCACAATTTAGTGAAACGTGGCGGTTTTGCTCATATTTGTGACTAAGTATGTTATACTTTGCTACTTCAGAACACGAGTGCCTGAACGTGAACGCTCTGCTAGGGACATGTTATCATGGATGTGGCGGAAAACAGATAGCGTGGCTTTATTGCCTACTATGCTAACTGCTCTAGCTGTAATATTAGCTAGCTCCAGAAAGAATGAAAATATAAATCTCTGCAAAATAACATGTCGGTTCATAGTCCATTGAGGAGAAAAGACGACAAGCATCAGCATCCAACCTGGTTTGGTCTTTTAGCTCATTAGCTTATCAGACACTATAATCTTTTTTGTCCCTAGCTGTTTTCAAAATTAGTGTTAAGTGTATTCGTCTGTGTGCTGCTGTACACTAGTACGGTCACCGAAAAGGGTAAGCCTATAAACCTACATTTTTTTTGGCTAAAGTCCTTATTTATTTGTTTGTTTATTTATTTACATTTTTGTAGTTTGTGTTTTCATTACCTGCAGTTAACTGGATATCTGGATATCATGACCTGCAGATACTGAAATATCAAAATAAGCCAGAAAGCACAGCCTTAGTTAAAATGGCCTGGGCCAGTTGCACCAGTCCTGTGTGTTCAAGTGTAAGCTGCACACTTAAAGATGGTTCTTTAAGGGTTTATTAGTAAAGTCAGTGGTTCTATTTATAACCATGAGTTTTGTATAGAACGATTACATGCCTGAATGGTTCTTTGCATGGTAAAAGGGTTCTTCAGATTGATGGAGAATGTGTTGTATATGGTTCTTTATAGAACCTTCTTAAAAATGGTTCTGTATAGCACCAAAAAGGATTCTTCTATTGTTACAAGCTTGACACCGTAACAAAATCAAATCCCTTACTGATGTTATATAGAACCACACACATGAAATGGTTCTATAAAGAGAACTTGCATATGGCTAGTATAACCGACCCAGACCATTTTAACTAAGGATGTGCACTCTGGCTTATTTTGACATTTCAGTCTCTGCAGAAGTTCATGACATCCAGTCATCCAATTAATTGCAGATAAGAAATACACACACTTATAACATTTAAAGTGTGTAGTTATATAGCCTAGTGTTTACTAATTTCAGGTTTACGCATTACTAAATCAAAACAAGTTGCACTACACAGACTAGTTTTTATGTTGATCTTAGTATCTAATAATTATTTCCACCTACCCCTAAGTAAGGCTAAGTATTGGGGAAACCAATGGTAACCACACAGATGGCACAAAGAAGATCACAATCATGACTTTTTTTGAATAAGATAACTTGGCAAAAAGTACTAAATGCTGTGTGCTGTGGTTTTACTTGCAGTTCTAATCATGATGTTGGTTTAAACTTTTAGCTCTAAACAAACATAAAGCTTACATCCATAGCTCAAGTTGAGTGAGACGCTGAATGCTGAATCTTCTACACTAACGCTACTTTCATCATGTCAGTTGGCCAGAAACCACTGGAATAAACTGTACATGGAATAGTTTTGGTTAGTTCTGACTAGCTCATACACATTAATTATGGTTTGGTGGTGCAACTGAGTGTAGTAAAAGAATAGTCAGAAACTAACTAAAGTTATCTAAGGACTCAGCAAAGACTTTGCTTAAAAGTCACTTAATTTCACACTTCTGCATAACTGATGTAACCCACTCCAGTTCTGTATTTGTTCAGAGGCAGGGAGAAACAACACAGGTGAATGATGGCTCACTCCACAGTGCTTTGTAATAAGTTCTGGATGAACTAAATTTCAAAGAAAATGCACCAGTGATCTATTTCATCCTTATTTACTGTTCTCTTAATTAGCTCTAGAGGCAGCCAATTACTCAGGTCAGCCGTATTCATTCCCAGTAGACTGCACTGCTGACAGTCAGCGTTATTACAGTCCGTTCATGTCTGAGTCATGGCGGTTCCTCCACTAGCCATTTTGATGCATAGCGGTCCACTTAGCACAGCACACTTAACATTCAGTTCCTCCTCACTCAACTAGTTTTGGATCCCTTGGGCCTGCTAATGTGTGACTGCGTGACTGCATGGTGTCTGACACTGTGATAACACACCACGTGACTGCACAGAAGAGCTTTAGGGGGATAAAGAGGCAGAAGAAGAGAGAAACTTGTGTGTATGTGTGTGCAGGCTTATTGTTTGTGCACCGCTCTGTAATCTCCATGTGGCATGGTGAATTGTTTCCTGATGACGTTAGATTGTGATCTGTACTAGGATCAGTCAAGGCTGATGTCAGCCAGCAGTCTCGAGTCTTTAGTTCAAGTCACACAATTTTTTTGGTGCATTGTTTGTCGAGTTTGTCACATATAAGCACTAATGCTCAAGAGAGCCATTGCTCAGGAAGCATTTTGCCAGTATGTGAAGTCTGGTGATTTTATTTTCCTAAACAAACCCCAGGCCCCAGGTCCTCATTAAGGTCGCGCAGACTTGTTAATGTTGTTTAGACCACAGTATGACTTATTCTGAACTATAAAAATTAACAAATATATATAAATACAAACAGTGTAGCTTAACACTGCGGTAAGCCATTCAACACAGAAATTTCAACCATGCACATGAACGGGAGTTGAATTTCAACATAGCACCTGTTGTCTAAAGTGGCTATCACACTGTCCTAAACCACATCAACAGGTCTGCGCAACTTTACTGAGGACCTGGTTGTGGTTTAATTGAGCTTTTGCGTAGGTGTATACAGAAAGAATGATTTCTAGTGTTTATGAACTTTAGCCTTGTAGCTCAAGCATAAAACTAATGAAGCAAAATATGGACATCAGCATGTTTTGGCTGTTTGACACTGATCTGGAGTAAGTAGAAGATTGTGTAAATTTGATATTTTGACAAAGTCATTCCTTTAATGTGTAAGGTGGAATGATATTGTTGACTTTTGACTCTTATTTAATATGAAGTGCTGTCAATAACGAAAGCAGTATTTCTTTCTTTGTCCACCAGGTCATTAAATTATTTAGGACTTTTAAAATGGTTTTCCCTTTTGTTTAGGTGGCTGTGAAAATCATAGACAAGACTCAGCTCAACTCCTCCAGTCTCCAAAAGGTGAGAGAGACTTTTGTATTTGTTTCACATTGTGCTGTGCACTTTTACACTGCATTTCAGAGAAGAATACACTTTTTTAAACGACTGTAGTCATTTTGTAGTACACGTCCCCACACCCTCAAATAAGGTCTTCCCAACTTCTCTCACTCATCCTGGAAACGCTTTTATTCTGTGGAGAGGCAGTTAATTACAGGAAATTAGACTCAAATGCTTCCTGTGGTGAGGGGTTGGGTTAAAACTTTGGGTGGATTCATTACCGTACACAAACACAAATATATGATGTGATACGCATCATCTGCACATCAACCACCAGCTTCTCTTTCTTCTTTCCAGCTATTTCGAGAAGTTAGGATCATGAAGCTGTTGAATCACCCAAATATTGGTAAGCTTTACTTACAAGACAAATTGACAAGTTGCTCAACTTGAATTTTCTGTTGTCTGTGCCTTCAGATTGTTTTGGACTTTTTTTTTTTCTTTCATAAATATTCTTCAGAGTCATTTCCCATAAGCATAATTATTACTCAGATGAAGGAAGTTCATAAAATGGCTTAGCTGCTGTACCTTATTTTCCCCATTTGGTGGATTTTTGCTTCATCTCTTTCTTCTCTCCCAACTAGTGAAATTATTTGAAGTGATAGAGACGGAGAAGACCCTTTACCTGGTTATGGAGTATGCCAGCGGAGGTCAGAGCTCTCCCTCATCTCTCCTTCTAAGTCACTGCTTCATCTGTCCATCATCTTGTGGTGAAATACACTACACACAACAGTCTATCAATCAGCAGAGATGGACCTTCCCTTTCCTGTTTTAAGTATATAGCCCAGGTATACTCAGTATTTCTAGTTTTATGTGTTGAGTAGAGCTCCAGACCGGATATTGAAGCGGTTCCTGCTGCTGCAGTGCTCTTTAGTGAACTACCTCTTTTGGCTCTCTCTTTCTGTCTCTGTTCTGTCCATGAGTCACTCTCTGTATCAGGCATTTGTCCGTGTGTGTGACTCTTCTCCCTTTCTCTTGCTCCTTCCTCTATAGGAGAGGTGTTTGATTACCTCGTTGCCCATGGCCGAATGAAAGAGAAAGAAGCCCGAGCCAAATTTAGACAGGTAAGTCTCAGCTTTGAACAGACTCGTAGGGAGAATCAGGCACTTTAACTAATAGAAATAAATATAAACAGCTTTAATATGTCCGCTCTTCTGTGGTTTCTTAGTATTGGTTCTGAGTCATTCTACCTTTTGTACACAGATTGTATCAGCGGTTCAGTACTGTCATCAGAAGTGCATCGTTCATAGAGACCTCAAGGTATTTTTTTTTCTGTTTTAGCTTAAAAATGATTCATTCTTTTATTACTAACCCTGTTTTAACAATGCAGGGTTGTTAAGATGTGGCTTTTTCGTCTGCACAGGCCGAAAACCTACTCCTGGATGCAGACATGAACATTAAGATTGCTGACTTTGGCTTTAGTAATGAGTTCACTCTGGGCAACAAACTGGACACGTTTTGTGGCAGTCCGCCTTATGCAGCTCCAGAGCTTTTTCAGGGGAAGAAGTATGATGGCCCAGAGGTGGACGTGTGGAGTTTGGGAGTCATCTTGTATACACTGGTCAGTGGTTCGCTGCCGTTTGATGGACAGAACCTAAAGGTGAGGACGGTAAAAGGAAAGGTATCTCTCGATGGAGCACCATAGCGCTCAGAGCAGTTCTAAAGGTGCTCGTCCCTCTTTTTTGTCTAAGTTCTAAAGGTCTTCTTGATTTGATTTTGCAGGAGCTCCGTGAACGTGTTCTAAGAGGCAAGTACAGAATCCCCTTTTACATGTCCACAGACTGTGAGAACTTACTGAAGAAATTCCTTATTCTCAACCCAACCAAGAGAGGCAGCCTTGAGGTTAGTACTGGCACCTACCTGATGCTCTCAGTCATGACTACGACTGCTTGTTTCGCTGTATGCATGTTTGATACGCCAGTAGTTAACTATGTAAGCTTTGGTGATTTGGAGACCTCACTGGTGGAAATGTGTAATTGCACGCAATGTGGCGGCGAACATTTTGTAGCGTCGTTTGTGTTTTGAACCCTTTCCCTGAGAGGATGAATCTAATAATTGTGAACACGTTGAAAGAGTTAAAAACTTGGTGAACGTCATGTCTTCCAAGGACGCGAGTGAAATATCTACTGTTGTCACTATATCTTCATCGGTATCACGTTGAATTTGCGTTTGAGACCTAAATATCAAGCCGGACCTTCTTTTTGAGCCTGTGCTTGTGATGTTAATATGTAAAGACGTGACTTAGTCTGAAAAAGTCACGCAAAATCTGACCTGACTCACCTGACTTTTAAATTACGATTTCAGGCTTTACAGGGTGACTCGCGGCAGTGCACATTTTAGCGTTGTTTTTTTTTTTGTTTTTTTTTCTTAGCAATGCTACTTCTTTCAATTTTACCAAAAATAAAATGACAGTGCAGCTTTACAATGAATAACCCGTTACAGTCTGTTCCACTTTCTGATCATAGAAAGATTTAAAAATTACGTAGTCACAGAATGTTTTATTGTCACTCTACATCTCTTGCAAGAAGACAGACTCAACATTAGACTATAACTGTACTACAAGGCTAGTTCCACTCCATCTTGCTGCCATCCCTTTGTCAACCCTAACCTATGCCCACACCTTCTCATTCTTGTTCCACATGTCTCTCTGGTTATGTCTAGCAGCAGATCATGAAGGACCGGTGGATGAACGTGGGCTATGAAGAGGAGGAGCTGAAGCCCTATGTTGAGCCCCAGCCTGATTACAAGGACCCCAAGAGGACAGGTCAGCACCCCAGCAGTGCAGGGGGTTGGAAGAGAGGTGGGGCAGACGTCTGATGCTAGTGGGGCTGGGGGGGGAAGGGGGGGAGAGGAAGAGGAGGGTAGTACTTTTATGTCTTGGTGCTGGGATGAAACCTTACAAGTGCAGATTTCAAGGCATTTTCTGTGAGTTGATTCAGCTGTCTGTTGTCTGTTGGTGTCTTGTTTTGTTTGTTTTGCTAATCGTTTTCTTAAGTATTCTGTCACCTCAATGCAGATACAGTGGTCTTTCATATGCGTTGAATGTGCTTGTCCTTAACATTTTTACTGCCAGTCTCTTTTTGACTTCATGAGGTTTTTTGATGCTTGTTTTTGATTATAATCAGTCTATTCGTCTCAACAATCCGTAGACATTATGCTGCAGATGGGATACTCTCAAGATGAGATACAAGACTCACTCGTCAACCAGAAATATGACGAAGTCATGGCAACATACCTATTACTGGACTATAGGAATTCCGAGGTATGCAGTATGGGGGCTAAGACTCAAGAGTCCTCTTTTTACTTTGAATCATCTTTCGGACTTTTCCTGCGGCAAATGCTTTGAAATATTAATGCCTCACGTAAAAACACCAGATAAAGAAAGACAAGTGGTGTGTACAGTTTTTTTTTTTTTTTTTTTTTTGTTTTGTTTTTTCTTCACTGCGTTCACTCATTTTTCTCTTTCAGCTGGATGAACTCTCAATAAAACCCCGTCCAAGCATTGACCTCACAAACAATGCCCAGTCTCCTTCTCACAAGGTACAACGCAGTACCTCCAATCAGAAGTCCCGCAGATCTGCAGAGCAAAGTAAGACACGTTTAGCTCACCTGAGACATACTTAGTGTTTTAATTCTTCAAGTGTCTGTTTAATGCCTATTTTTGTACCTCTTTGTGTTTTCCTTCCTTACTGTAGGTTCATCTGCCTCATCCAAGCACTCTCAGGGGGATAGCAAGCACGTGGCTGAAGAATACGGGAGAAAAAGCTCAGGCAGCTCGGCTAAAGTTCCACCAAGCCCTCTGGCTACAGGCGACCGCAAGAAAACTCCTACCCCCTCCACTGTGAGTTCACATTTTCTGCAGTGAAGCTGACCACTGTGTGGCTGGAAATGTGCCTGTTACGACTGTGGTTTATACTAGCCTTTAGAGGTGTATCAGTTTGATTATCGGTCCTATCTGTAATTATAATTCATTATTTATCATTTACAGACTCAAACTTCTTTTTCTTAGTTTTGCCACATTCCGTCATCTGTAGTTTGCTTTACAACTACTAATATTACAGTCACGCAAGGGAGTCTTAATAAACCATCCTTATAATAGCAGACAAGAAAACCTTTGCAAAAATAATGAATAAAAAGAATTAATAATAAAAATGAGAAACATTAGATAGGCTTTAATGCATGCCTAATACATGCACTTTAATTAGCTTGAGTTAAAGCCACTCTAGGTGTTGGGGAGCTGTTATAAATAAAGAACAGTTTATTTTTATCTATTTAAAGTTCATTTTAAAATATTACACTTTCTGTCCAAACATGTATACTGCCTGGAAGCTTCATGTGCTTTGCTTGTATAAATGTTCAGATGTTTACGGTTAGTATTTCCTTAAACATTATTTTCACTTTAGAGGTGCATTTGATTCAGTCCACCTTATAATTAGATATGTTAATTATTTTAATGTGTGTTTTGCACAGGAATTGTGCCTCAAAATTGCCACACTATAAATTTCAAATCCTTATATACTAATCAGTACTGGTAGTGGCCCAAAACTAAACTTGATATTGGTCAACCCCCAGTAACAACGTTCTGTCTGTTGGTTTGATTCATGGTATAGCGCAAACTATATTTTCACAGTATTTTGAACCAAATTTCAGTGGTGTAAAATGATTGTATCCATGGCGTTGTACAACCTAGTTGATTGTTACTTGGTGTCCTAACAATGCAGTTGCATTAGATGACATTATTATTGGAATGTTGTGGATATCACCTGTTTCAGTGATGCACTAACTCACATTTTGTGCTTTGCAATGTATTTTCAATTTATTGTTCCACCTGTGATGGTGATAGTGCTTTCTCCTTTCTGTGCTGTACAGAACAGCATCCTCTCTACTGGTACAAGTCGTGGGAGGAACTCCCCTGTTTCTGAGAGATCTACTCTGGGTGTGCAGAACGGCAAGGACAGGTACACACACGCGCGCACACTCATTCTGTGGAAGAACAGCACATGTATGCAGAGTCTATTTGACAGTGACTCGTGTGTACCCACATAGAGCGCATATAGAAAATGTGCTCATTCTGTGGACAAGATGTTACGTGCATGTGCACCATATTTTAGAGGGTGTGTTTGTGGACTGCAGTGTTTGCAGTGGAGTGACGAGCTGCTCTTGACCTAGTCTGGCTGACACCATGCCAGCATGAGAAACATAATCCCGTTATGTACACACGCTCACACGCATTTGGCCTCATGCTTCAGTGCAGCATGAGGTTGAAATCCGGCCTGCAGGATTTGCAGCACCTTTGGGAGTTAGGAGCATTAAAATGCTGAAGACCAAGTGTCATCTAAATCATCCCTTATAGCTGTTGAAAATCTAATGGCAGTAAAAATAATGAAAAATCGCTGTAGCAAAGGTTGTAATGGACTGCTACAGAAAAACACTCTGCTGTTATTGATAGCAGTAGGCACTCCAAATTGTATTAAATGCCTTTTAAATTTATGTGCCTTTAATTTTTATTTTGATGCTGAGATTGTGTACTTTTCACTTATTTAAGCATGCATTCCTGTGAATAGCTACCAAAACAGCATGCGTTTTAGATATTTATTGATCGTTGTCGGAGTTGATTAGAATCAGTCATGTACATGAGTCTTGCATGAGAACCTGATAAGAGATCAGCTGCCAGTTGCAGTAATATCTCACTTCCTTTAAAGTGGTTGAGAGTGTTGTGGTGGTGAGCGCTTGTGAAGGCAAGCTCTTTAGACACACTGACACACATTCAGGTATTACACAGATTGACCCTGATATACACAACTCCATTGCCTAATCTGGGCTAACTGATGCTGGCTGCTCCTGTAGCCAGGTCATGAAGAGGGAAAAGCAGCAGTGGCAGCATGGCTCTTGCGTCTGCTTCAGATCTGTAGACGCTTCATGTCCAACTCACTATTTTACACATCTCACTCACATGAAGGAGAGGTCTTTCACCTGCTTTTCAGATCAGTTTGGTCCATTACTTAACCTACTGCTGAGATGGTGGCACAATTCCAAGGAAGATGATTTCATACCTAAGTTGTTTTGCAATGCTTGTAGTTTTACTTTGCGCTTGGTTGAGTGTTTTTTTTTTTTTTCTTCTTCTAGATTTAAGCTCAATTAAGCTTCTTCGCACTTTCATATGTAAATCATGCTATTCCAGGCAAACACTTTACCAGTGATTGCATTATCATCCATTTGACCTGATTAACATGTCTTGTAGGGTTGGGCGGTATAACGGTAATAAGGTATTCTGCAGTAACAGTGTCAAATTTTTGTTCCACATTTGGTCTGCTGGATTTGCGTGAACAGTCATAACTAAAGATTGAAACACGTCCCAAGTGCATTCCCATCTCAAAATTAAGTACCATCTAATCGCTTTACAGATGCTGTCGACCTCTGCCATAGAACCAAATACTTCCCATTGCTGTATGTTGCCAGTTTTTTTTCCCCATCTGATGTGCTGATAAATCAGGTCCAGGATATACTTAAGATAAATTATGCAGGAGAATGGCTCAGCAATGGCCAACAGCTACATGAGCACAGAATATGTTCTGTTTTATCTGTCACTTCAACACCAATCATTTAACTTTGCGCTCTCAGATATGAATGTTTATCCTCTAAATGTGTGTAATTTCAAAGGCTGCGTAGCTGGAACAGAGCCTAAACTGTGGTGTGTGGCACATTTGGCCTGCTAACTAAACTTTAATTAGCTTAACTTAAACTGACATGCTACAGCTCCTAACACCACACCACAGGTTGCATTTTGGCTTTCTGTGTCTCGAGCACCAGTCGCTCGACTTTACACCCTCAGATTTGAGTCGTATCATCTAAACTTGTTAATTTGGCTTCACTTAGCTAGAATAGAACTTTTTCTATGGCTAGCAAAATTGTTTTATGCTATCTGAGCTAATGACGTAATATGGGCCCTTTAACATTTCCCGGGTGTTGCTGTGTTTTTACATTTATTGAATAATGGATTGAAAATCATGCATTGCAATCATTTAATTGGTGACAGTGTAAGTGAACGGAGCTTTTTATTTGATTTTATTTTTTGAAATGTAGGATGAGATGACAGAGCTTTTTCATCACTTGCTGTTTCAGCGCATTTAACTCATTTTTTAATGTGCAGGTATTACTATACACCACGCTTATATTTAGAGATGGTTTGAAGCTATGAAAACAAAGTGGATACTGCCCAACCCTATTGTTTAATCAATAGCTGATCTATTACAGTGTACTCATTAAGCTCATGATTTATGATTTTAATGCTTTGCTTCTGATAATGTATTTGCTTTGCTGAGATAATGCAAGTTTGTCTTCATTTTGACAGTCTCTAAAGTCCTTGGTGAGTGATATGTTTCCAGACAAACTAGGAGCCTGTGAAGACCAGCCTGCATTATTAGAGCTTTGTTACGCAATATGCTAGTGTTGTATTTTTGAGTTTGTGGTCCTGTATCCCTCCACCCTTCCCTCAACCAGCAGTCATTTCTCCATTAGCTCTCTAACCTGTACACTTCACACCCCACTCCTGCCCCCTTTCTGAGGGGGTTTCAGGAGAGGGTTGTTGTGAATGTTTCTCCCCCAGCTTGAGCACCCCAGGGTCCCGCGCCTCTACCGCCTCGGCAGCTGCTGTCCTAACTTCCTCTTCCTCTTCCCGCCCCCGTCACCACAAGTCCCTGTCCACCTCGGCCCACCCCAACCCCCCAGACCTCCATGCACATCGGCCCAGGCAAGTGGCAGCTCAGCCCACACTTTGGGCCATATGCAAAGAGCTGATCTGGTAAAGACTTTAGAGCCATTCAGTCAGGGCAGAGAAAGAGGGGCAGTATAATTTAGTGGTAACTTCAGAGATTAGTTTAGGTTGGCTATCATCTGCAAACTACAACTTGAGACTTTTTCATTCCTTCTTTTAGTGCAGTGTAGAGAAGTAGTTTATGGTTGAAATGTTGTAGGAGTAGCCTGGAGGAAAGTGCCCTGATTAGTCCTTCGTCATGTGGACAACGCTGTCCAGGCTGGAGTTTCCCTCCCTGGAGTGCCACTGACTCCTTTATATCCTCAGCAACCCCTTCCACTATGCACTACCCTTCATTCCTGCTCCATGCTAACTGACTGACATGACATCGGCCCCCCATCCCTCCCTTCCCACAAAGTAGAACTTTTACACTGATCTAGAACCATTTCTTCCTTTCCCAAATCCCTAATAACTTCTAAGTAGGGATGTCCTGATCCCCTCAGAACGAGCCAATCCGGGCATATTTCAGTTAAGTGGGAATTTGCTACATTCTTGTCAGCTATAGCCCGATCCAATTCTTGTCCTATTTGTTATATTTTTTGCGTTCTCTTTACAACATTGTTGTAGAGACATTATCAGACATAATCCACTACTTGCCGCTGTGAGGTACATTTTCAGAAATAACAAGTAGTTTAAATGTCTAAATTGTTGAAATACAGTAGGGCTGAACCTGACTCACACGTGTAACTAACTGGCAAGCCAGCAAACATCCAAAACTGAGCTCTTTCCCTGTTAAATTTACTTTTATTTCACAATCTTCTGATGAAAAAAGGACATGCTCATGTTACACATCAGCTTGTATCTGACAGTATCAGTAGCAGTAAGCCAGAAAAGTGTTTCTAATAGTGGCTCTAACAGATTTCTGTTGGAAGTGTTTCTAACAGATTTCTCTCTGAAATATATCTTTTTCATTCAAGTCAAATGCATTGCAGAAAATTTTCACCAGTAATGTCGGTGCTACATGTCCAGTATAAAATCAGCTTTAGCAGTAACGGCATTTTCAAAGCAGGTACAAAGGATGCAAAATTGTGTTTAAAACCTCTTTTTAAAGGAATGGCTTGCCAAGTTCAATACCTTTGTCCATCAAATTAGACTTTACACAAACTATAAAATTGGAATTTAAAAAAGTAGCTAAAAAAACACCCTAAACTTTAGCAGTTCAGAGTGTCACACTGTGCTCATACTGCAAATAAAGTAATTTTTTTGTAGCATTTTTAAGTATTTGGCAGCCTATTGCGTCTTTACTATGTGGCTGTATCATGTACAAAAATACAAATATTGGACCAATCCCACTATCAGTTAATACTCTGTATTAAAGGACTCAGATCTGGGGTAAAAAAAATCATTTGGACATTCCTACACGTAACCATTGTAAGGGAAAGAGCAGTAATGGCCTTGAATCAGTGTAAAAGTATGCTAATCCATAACATTGCCTATGTGCATGTGTGGTGTGAAGTTTATCCTCAGACTGCACCACTCTAGGGCATGTTTTAGCTCTCATCTCACACGCTTGTCAGTGCCTGCTGCAATGTCCTCAGCCTCAGAAATGAGGCTGCAGTCTGCTGTTTCTGTTAGCTGAGGCTGCCTAACTACTCAAAGCTCTTTTCTCTTGGTCTAAGTCAATCAGTTTTTTTTCCCTTCATGAGACACCTGCCTCAGTACAGACACACCAAACGTATTGTTAACTCTGTTCTTATTCTAGTTACACATTCTAACCTACCCCAACCTGTCTTGCTGCAGTTTGCTGCACTTGAGTTCCCTTTTCTGAAGCCATTGTGTGTGTGCTTTAACAGCACACAGCTGTGCATGCTAACCAACAGGTTTTCGCTGATGTTTATTAAAAGGTGGCTTAAGTGGTTTTTAAAGCAAACGAGTAACACTATCCAAAGTTTTATTCCATTAATAGTATGGATGGAGCTGCCTTGACTTATTACTCAAATGCATGTGTTTTCGTTTAAAATAGCATATATAACAGAGCAAGAACCCCATAAGAAATGTCAGTAAGTTTGTGTTCTTTGCGAATGATGGGGACGGAATCCTAAAATAGTAAATTAGTGAAGACTGTGAGTGGTTTGAACTCCATGGTGAGTGGAGTTTATGCCCATGGCTGGTCACATGGCATTAAATCGCTGTCCTGGCACATGAAGCCATGTCTCAGAAACCCTGTCTCCCAGGATTACACTTCATTCCACTGGATTTGAGAGTATGCCCCAGATTGCATGCATGAATTTATTCCAGCAGATTTAACATGCAGTCTTAAATTATGATTGTTTCATATGTAAATCATGGTTACCATTTAGAAAACCAGAGATCAAAAGGAAGTCTTGGTTTGTTAGTGACCGTTTCAGAATTGGTTTAGAAGGGAGAATATTTAGAACTTTCTGGCTTGGAGAGGATTAGGCACGAATTAAGGAGAGACATTCTTTTTGAAAACTTCTGTTGGACATTTTGCTGTTCATCCTCGTGGCTATTGGAAAATAACTGATTCCACAAACATTCTGTGTAATGCTTTAAACCCTGCACTAATCCAGAGGTGGCACTGTTTCAGCTGTTCCTGACTGGAGCTTTGACTACTGATTTGTGTTTTGGTCTTTCATGATAAATGCCACCATAAACCTATTAAAAGTGGAATTAAAAAGCAAAGCATCCATATATATCCTTGGTAATGTAGATCACGTTTGGTACTAGTAACTGCATATTGTGTGATGATTTGAAATGGCAGGATTAAAAAGACTTGGAGTTTGTTTCCTTTCTTAGAAAAATTCAGAACATTTGTTAATACTGCTTTGAAATATTGAGAGGGATCAGTGAACACTGTCTTCTGTGAAACATTTGCACATACACCCCCTCTGAAATCGAATTGTGGTACACCACAACTGCTTTCTTTATAGCACCTAGATCAGAGGTTCTCTACATGGAAGGGTTAGCAGTACTTCCTGAAGAAAAGGGGGAAGAAAATAAAACAGCTGATGTTTCATTTGAGTATATGTGGAAACTTTGAATTAACTCAAAGTTAATATGTAAAGTATTTATTTAACATTTGAATGCTTTACACATTGACTTTAAGACATGTCTTTGCCCATCAACCTGGCAACCTACTTTTGTTCTTCCCTTATGCTGTTTGTCAAAGAAGGGAGTGGTTGGGTGAAGGGAGAGAACAGAAAACAGCAGAGCTCTTTTCTGAATCTCTCTTCCTTTGTGCTGTGCAGAGCATCAATTTGCCTGTTTTTCAGAGCAGTGTCATAATCTGTGGAATGCACAGTCTTAAAAACAATGCAAGAATACACAATTACTACTTTTATATTTTAGGAGAAATGCATGGTTAAATCACAGCTCACAAACCTCTTTTGCTCACTTCTGGTGAGAGATTGTGATTGAACATGGTCTTGCCAAGCTGGCAGTTACAATTCTATTGACTCTTCTATTCTAACCATGACTAACAAATAAAGTAATGCATTATGATTAATCACGTTTATCATGTCATTAATAATGTCGTGTTAACACATTATTTACCTGTTAACTTTGACAGCTCTAATTCTCACACGATAATAGCAAGTAACTGGACGTTGAGTCTGACTTTTGGTTGTCAGACTTGTGTTTGAGAGAAACAGTGAGTTATTAATTAATAAGACATAAAAATGCCTGTAGGCTATTTAAAAGGGTGACTGCGTTTTAGTGTGTCCTTCTCTATGTGAAGCATTCAGCTGAAAACAGTGGCTGTTCTTTATTAAAAATCTTTGTCACCGTGGGCAGCATGAAGTGTGTAGACATTTCACATAATACTTGGTTCAGTTATCCCTCTTTATTTATCAACCTAATATAACTGACAGAATTAGAATTTAAATAAGTAAGTTTTGCCTGGCTACCAGGCAGTTGTCATAACATCTTCTGATCTATGTATGTCTACTAAATGTTAAAAAAAAAATAATAATACAGCACCGGCCCACAAAGAGTTCCAGTGGTGTCTCCTTCAACCCACAACATAAGCAGCTCCACGGTAGCAGACCGCACCAACTTCCCCAGAGGAGTGACAAGCAGAAGCACTTTCCACGCCGGCCAGCAAAGAGCCACACGAGACCAGCACGCCTCAGCCTACAACGGACCCCCAGCATCCCCCTCCCTCTCCCATGGGAACAGCCAGGCTCGCCGCCCTGGTACAGGCATTTTCAGCAAATTCACCTCCAAATTTGTACGCAGGTGAGTTCAAAACCACGAGTCTGTGATGGCACTACACCATTAATGAAGATTTAATGTCTTCTCGATAGTAGGATGGTAGTTTTAGACAAAAGCATAGTGCACTTAAAGGAGCATTCCAGACAAAGTCCTGCATTTTAATGTCAGTACATTGTGGGGAGCTAATTTAGCCTGTGCTCTACAAGCACACAGGCTGTAGCCTAACAAAAGCAGCAGTGAGACATGAGAAGGTCAGGAACATAAATGCCTCCTTTAGTTAAAAGCTATAAAATCTGAGCACTGCAACAAAAAAGGGTTGGATATCAAACAACTGACAACTGTTGTAAATTCTGTTGTTCAGTTCTGGTTTGAAATTGTATTCATTGAGTCCTAACTATTGCTACAGGACACTTATGGTTCCCCCTGGCTTGACCCAGCTTTAATGGAGGCCTGTTATCACCTTATCCCCGAAGTCACATGAGTGTTAAATCACTGCTAGTTTAATTTGTCCTGCTATAAAGGGGTAGTGCTGGCTGAATTCTTTCTGGATATTTTTGCCATTAAAAATTGAATTAAAATAGTCAAGTTTGTGTGCAATGCTCCTTTTAAATGGTTTCGTAACATGGTATCTGCTATTTTCACATGAGAGGATGCATGTTGAAGCGCACCCATTTGGCCTGTTGACTCTCTGCAGTACTCCCCTTTTTCAGGACGAGCTGGTTTGGAGCGGCACAGATATCTGTGACTAAGATCAGGTCCCTAATGAAGGGCCGATGGAGCAGGGATGGGTTTCAGTGTGAGAAATGCTATAATGGACCTAACCATGATGTTGGACCCCCCTAAATTAATCTCATTAATCTTGTAATAAAGACATCAGAAGTTTCTGTATTCTTAATTGGCCCTACATAACTCCAGTCATCACAACTTCACCCCCCAATATGACTCCATTATCCTGTTCTGTGCCCTCCAGCTAACACTTAAGTGCTCTCCACACTGCTCAGACCATGCTTCCCCTCTGTAACTTGTTTTCCTGACAGGCCACCTGGGAGTATTTAATCTCTATCCTTTTTTACAATTTGCTGTGTTTTTTTCCCACACATTTGAGAACATACTTTTCCCCCTTTTTTTCTTCCCCACCTTTTTTGTTTTCTTGTAGAAATCTCTCATTCAGATTCCCCAGAAGGTAGGCAATAACACTACCCTTGAGTCATCCCAAAGACATTATATTTTTGTGCTCTATCTTCCTTCTTTCTGTGGTCTTTTGTGTCTTGGTTCAAGGGTTTAAAAACATAGGCTGGACATCTCTCCATGGTTTTGCCTTTTACTAATGCCCTGCTTCCATTGCCCAAGTTGCTTCTTTGCCAGCCCTTTCCTCTTCCACTTCCTCCTTCTCCAGTCCCTTTCCACTCTCATCTCATCCCCCCTTTCCTTCTGTCTGGGCCTGTGGTCTCTGGTCAGTGTTTGTTGTGCCTCAGATCTTGTGAATGGTCTCCTTGTGCTGTAGTCTGTGCTGTTTTCCTGCATCTCTTCTACAATGCAGTTAAGTACTACACTATGACTGACTTCTCAAGGTCATAGATGCCTCAGATCCAATTACAGACCTGGTGAACCTTTTTTCTACATGTGTTTCTTGGTAGCTTTAGAATAAACCTAAAAGCACCCTGCGTCTAGTGTCATCAAGATTAAATCAACTGCAGAGTTTTTTTTTTTAATCAGTATCCAATGTAGGTGCAGTTATAACCATGTAGGTGTCATGTTCAAAGAATTTAAATAGTTTTAGTATAAAATGAACATAGTCAACAAGTGTTTCAGGTGTATAATAACTGTATAATTAAGTCCATCTGAATGCATTCAGGCTGGCAGGGCAAGGATAGGGTGTAGGCTGTGCCTGAATTCCAGAGCAGGTCTTTCCCTTCTTTCTGCGTATGGTCTGTTACTCAAATATTCTAATGGCTGCGCTAAACCTTTGGGGTGCTGCTTTTGTCTGTGTGCTGGGATTGTCTTTGAGGGGGCCGCTGCCCTGGGTGTACTTTCCCTCCACCTTGATAAGTTATGGTACACGCACATCACGTCTGGATCAGCTACCTGGAGGAAATACACAAAAGTAGGAAAGATTTGTTGTATGACATTAACAAAGAATTTACATAGAAATTGTTCTATGGAAGACTGACTTTTAGAAATGTGACCTCTTGTGGTCAAGTATGTGCTCCAGTTTTAGTAATAGTTGAATAGAACTTGTGCTTAACAGTTGCTTGTAATATGAATATACAGCGTTGTGCAAAAGTCCGAGACCACTCGTCATCTGTTTAATTTCCAGTCAAAACGGCTAGTTATTTATCTTTCTGAGAAGTAAGGGGAAAGTCACAGAAAAATAAGTGGGAGGGAAAAGCTAGAGTTAAAACATAGAGAAAAAATAAGACTGCTAACTGCGCAAAACCTGGTAGACCACCAAAACTGTCACCATCAGATAAACAGTACTTTACTCCTCTTTGAGAAAGCTTGAGAGAGAGGACAAAATCAAGCTCCACTGTTTCTTCAGATCTGAAAAAATCCACAGTTGTTTTTCTCTGTCCTTCCACTGTGAGAACCCAACACTAGGTCTGAAAGGATGTGTAGCTGTCACAACGCCATTAATGGGGAGAGTAAATAGGAAATCGACTAAAACTGGACACGATATGGAGTAAGGTTTTTATGAACTAATAAGTCTAAATTTATAATTGGGATAACTTGGATCGTGACAAGCAGAAAATGCACCCAACCAAGACTGAACTTAGGAAGTGTTTACAATAAGCATAGAAAAATATTCCTGCAGAATTCTTTGCAAAGATGTAAACGAGTTCCCCAAAAAGAGTAGAACCTGTAGTAAAAGGAGAGTGGACACTAAATACTGAAGAATTTAGTTGTTGAGGTTTGTGTGTATTTTTTCTGTTAAATGTATGGTTTCTGCTTGTTTTACTCGATGAAAAATGTATAACTCTGTATTTAATGACAGTTTTGACTGGAAATAAAAATAAATGAGGGCTTGTCTCTTTAGATATTTCCTAGGTACTTACATATACTGTACATTTGTTTAACATTTATTGCATCATGCTTTGAGACGTGGCCATTGGTTTATTGTTTTAGCAAACAGTGGTTTTGAAAAAATGGGTTGTGGTAGACAAACCACAAGATATCTAGAAAAAAGTGGCTTCTTCAGCTAAGTGAGCGTGTGTGTGTATCCGAGTGTGCTAATCCTTGAGGGTTTAAGAGAAGCTGTTCAAAGTGTGGTGGAGGGACTGTAAGACAATGCTTCCTGTCTTCTGCTTCCTCCGTTCTGTGCACTTGTGTCTAAGGAAATGGAAGTGGTTCACCACTCTTGATCTTCTCTGGGCAGAGGTGTTTGTCCTTTAATTCTCTTTATTTTTATGGCTGTTAATGTCTTTTTAAAATATAGTGAAACTGTTCCTTTTAGTTGTAATACAGTATTTATTAGCGCAGTTTTAAGCTGAACGTGCTCAATGAACTTATGATATTAAAAATATTTGAGTGGTGTTTATTGAAGAGGGTAGAGGATTACAAGAAGAGCACGCTCTCAGATTAGGAGCTTGTAGCCATGAGTAGTGATATAAATGTTCTGTAACTAGCCAGTGAAAAGAACATAAACACAAGATACTAAACTTGTGCCGATTTTCTTTGAGGAGTCCGTATGAGGGAGAGGGTCGAGATGAGGCCAGCAGGTGAGGACATCAATTAAGTAATGATCAGTGATCTTAACAAAATAAAAACTATTTTAATACCATCAATACTTTGGATCTAATTTGTTAGTTTGTTCTTTAGAAGTGGATATAATTTTTTTTAGATATTTATTTTTTTGAATAAAATGAAAATGAACTTTTAATTGAAACTCTGAATCAAGTCCTAGCCAATTAAATTTCACTGATTTTTTAAAATAGTTATCACTGCTAGATTAGTAGTACTACACTAATGATCATGAACGAGGACATTTTGTTTGTCTGGATGCTTTTACCATACACGTACAACAGGGATATTCAGTTCTGCTCCCAGAAGGGCTCAGGTTTGGTGATTTCTCTGGTCTAATGCCTAGTGGACTGCATGACTTTTGAAATCTCAATTGCTATACTGCACCAATTGCACAAGATTTAGTGCTTGCACGCTGTTTGTTGATGTAGCATTGTGCACACTAAACAAGCGATTGCAGCCTCTGGAGAGATCTATGACAAATTGAGCCTGATGACAAAATGCCACTACCTCACGGAAGTAACCACTAGAAGCGTCTATCACGTGCCAAAAGTGAGCTTGAGAAACTTCGTAGTGTTTCTGCACTAATGCAGAAAAAAAGGAAGAAAAGAATAAAAAAAAAAAAGGATCCTTTTCAAAGGAGGAATCGCACTCCACAGCCCTGTAGCCTCTCCTTTATTTCCTGGCTCCGTGCAGAACACGTGGCCATTACCAGCACAGAGGAGAAAGCTGCCACAAATATAGAATCAAAGCAGTGGTCACCAACTCTGGACTTGGAGATCTACCGTTCTCCGGAGTCTCATTTCAGCCACAGTCTGCCACACCTGCTCTGGTTAATTAACTACTTCAGACATCCTTAGTTTAGTTGGCACTAAACTCTGCAGGAAAGTAGATCTCCAAGAGGGAGTTTGGTAACCACTAACTGAGAGGCTACTCCAAACCCAGCCGTAGAGGTGGTCAACAGGTGAGCAGCAGCCTCTGTCAGTATTTAGGAAAATTGAGTTTTCTCGTGCTCTGATTGTCTAGTGCTCATTAATGTTTCTGTCACCTTTTGTAGAGAGCTCACACTACAAGATTTATCACAGAGAATTTCAAACACGCTTGAAAATATCAGGATGTCTGTGACTGCTGATAGCCTGGTCGTTGGACCATTCACATTATGAGTGTGTCGCAGATCCCAAAAAATTGTCTGCAACTGAAAAAACAGGACTAAAATCATGTAGTGTGCACCCCTAACACAGCTACACCTAGCAATTAATAGAGGAGTTTAATAAGGTGTGTTAAAGCAAAGAAGCCCTCCAGAGTCAGAACTGAATGCCCTGGTTTATATGTCAGTTTTGTGATCAGACTGATTTTGTGCTATATATATATATAGGTTTTGTTACAGAATGTTAGAGGATGTCAGGGCTGGGTTTGACTGCATTGTAGTTTTGCATCGTAATGACCTCCCCCCAACCTTGCCCGCCTAGTTTGTTTTTAAAAAATTAGCCATGTTTTTCTGTGAGAAGATTTATTGTTACCTTTTTTTGTGTTGGAAAGAGGCCAACGTGTTTGGTAGTTTGTGCTTGCCCACTTCAGCCCCATACCTCCCTACATGCCACAGCTTTGCTCAATCAAGTCTTCAGTAAATGAGTTGAACCAGTCTCAGAATATGATGTCATAATAAATGAGTTTGCTTCCTTTTGTTGACATTATTTTCCTGTTTGTCTCCTCTTCGTTACCTCCACCGAAGACCCATGTTGAGCACGGCGGACAAGATGGAGAAAGGTACCCAGGGTTCAGCGGGTGACGACAACAAAGACTCTGTGTCTTCCTCCTCCCCAGTGTCCAGCACGCCTTCGTCCACCCAGTCCTCAAAGGACACCAAGCCCCGGTCGCTGCGCTTCACCTGGAGCATGAAGACCACCTCCTCCATGGAGCCCAACGAGATGATGAAGGAGATCCGCAAAGTTCTGGACTCCAACAGCTGCGAGTATGAGCTCCGCGAGCGCTTCATGCTCCTCTGCATGTCAGGAAAGCCATCCCGCGACGACTTCGTCCAGTGGGAGATGGAGGTGTGCAAGCTGCCCCGTCTTTCCCTCAATGGGGTGCGCTTCAAACGGATCGCGGGCACCTCCATTGCCTTCAAAAACATCGCCTCCAAGATCGCCAACGAACTAAAACTGTGAGCATGTTTAACCCGATCGGCGGAATAGGATAAGACTGAACTGTGAGTGATGTGAGGGGCTCTAGCCCTAAAGTAGGGAGTGAGGAGATCAAGCAAACTTTGCATGGGACAGTGGACAGCAGTGGACAAGCTCAGAGATGTGGCAGAGGAGAGTTTAAAGACTGTAAATGATACTAGAGGGTTGGGACAGGTTGATGGGGGAGGTTTGTGTGTATAGACGTTTTGAGGGCCTTCTTTTTGGTAGGTGGTGTTTTTTCTTGGTTTGGGTTTTCTGTCCCTACATCATCCCCCACCTACTTTTGTTGTCTTTTATTTGTGGCGGTTTTGTTTGTTCCCAGTTTTGTGTTTTCTTCTTGATCCTCAGTCATATTCTGTTCGAAGAGTAAAACGGAGAAAGGAAGTTGTTGTAATTAATGAAAACTGTTTGCTGGTGGTTCTTGTATTACAAACTCAAACCAGCTACTGTCTCAACACGCTGTAATTCCCCATACCCTGCTCCCTAACCCCAGACACCATCTATGGTAAAGCTCCACATTACTTGATTTTCTTACTTTCAATTCCAGGTTACCTGGTGATGAACAGAGAGAGAAGACTGGTGGTTTGACACTCTGAATGTACAACACAGTTTGTGATGAGTATTTGAGACTAAACTGCTTGGCACGCTCAGTAGAGCCATAGCTGAAATTGAAAATTCATCATGCTCTGAATGGCTCTAATACTCTATCCCACAATAAAGTCTACATCACGGTAATGTGTCTTATCCGATCTGAAATGGAAGTGCGGACTTGAACCCTCAGTGCTCTAGAGGTGAATCACCTCTCTGCACTCTCAGCCCAAACAATTAGGTTTTTCCTGCTGCAGGGGTCATATATCAGAAGCTAATTAAGGGCCAATTAAGTAATTATTGGTGGATTGTAGTGTAATTAAGAGTTGCTGGTTGGTTTCAATGTGCTGCACTGGAATGAGTCTGTGTTTTGTTGCCTTTCTCTGGAGAAGATAATATTATTATAAGAATAAACAAAGTTGAATGATTTGTTGTCCGTTTTTCTTGTAAGGCTGACTGATCTTGCTTTCAGATAGAATGGCAATGCAATTCTCTTATTTAAACCATTGCCTGTTAAAATATGCTTACTAGTCAGCTTCACTAGGGAAAGTGTGTTTCCTCTTTAAGGTGAGGACCTGCAGATAAATGGAATATTTTTAAAAAAACAGATATTACACTGAATATTTTCCAGTTAATTACAAAAGTTTTTTCTGGAAATTTTTGGGAGAAAATGACATTTAGATACACAAATGACAGACCATCCACTTACAAATGCAAACTTTTTTCACATTTCAAAGCCTAAAAGCTAGCCTTTGGATGATACTACAGGACATTCCAGAGAAAGGATTTTATTGAACAGATTGTTGAAATCTAATTTTGTTTAATCAAAGCAACAACATGTTGTCATAAAGCATTTTCACATGCTTTTTAGTAAAATAAATCAGGAATGTAGGTAATCTAGAAGCTGAAATTTTTAGAGAAAAGCTCATTTTGAGAGAGTTTAAAGAATGGGCCTCAGATTTGCATTAACAGGTGAGATCTCATGAAAACGTGCACCATTTGTGTTGTCATTAGAGCAAATACGGTTTGATTCTACAAGAAACAAGATTTTCAGTGATATGAAACATGGCTGTGCTGAATGTAGGTGGCACAAGCGCTTCATTAAATTTACAATCCTTTTGAAAGCTGTGATGTGGGTTGATGTGTGCTAAATGCCATAAATGTTAATGAATTTGCTTAAAAAGGAGGCTATTTAAGCTCAGAAAGCAAAGAGGCCAGAGTGTTTAATAGTTTGTGTTTGCCCACTACAGGTATGGGACTGAAGTATTGTAACAGTCATCACTATTAAATTTCTATCTAAAGAGACACAGCTTTCAAAATGAACCAAACACAATAAAAGCTAGAATGAGGGGAGTGCACTGGAGCGGATTAGTTAAACACAAAAGGCTAAATAGTGTAGTTGCTACCATCCCGCTAGGAAAGAAGGTCTCAAATAAGTAATAAGCTGGTGTTGCATTGCTAGGTCATCACTGTAGAAATTAAACCACACCTAATGACACAAGCTAGATGGGAAGATGGCAGGGGTGACCGCTACAGTCACCACACCGGTACTTAAGTGTTTGTAACGGAGTGGTGGTAGTATAGTTATATAGTATTTTTAAATTATTATTATTATTTTTTTTTTAACATAGAGCACAAATGAAAGGATAACAGTAAATCAAGAAAAATGTACATTTCTTTATCTGTCTATTCACATTGAAGTCATAAAGAGTTTCAACCTGGACTTCTAGAGTCACCCTTTACCTACAGAACATCTTCAGTCTTTCTTGGAGTGATATTAGTTTTGAAGTGTGTTGTGAGACACTAAACCAAAAAGAAAGCCCCCAGTTCTTAGAAGAATAAAGAACGTAGTAATCCACTTTCCACTCTGCACTAAAGAACTATCAATGAAGGTTCACTGATGTTTCGGACCTGGTGACTGAGGAGGAAAGAAATCTGACTTCACATTCATGTCTATGAAACCATTCTTGACTTTGCTTGACAGTGTTATTATAATATAGGAGCGTTATGAGGGAACAGTGTTAGCGTAGTACGCTGCGTCTGGTCCTCCAATTGTCCTCAAAATTTTCAATTGTATCACATGGATCCACTGCTTTTAACAGCTGGTAACAGAGATTGTACAATAAAGGCTTTTCTTTGCTTTCTCCAAACATAAGCACATCCAGCTTTTTCCATTGCTAAGCGGTCATGGCTTTGTGCTGCTTTCAACAGGTTACTTATTATGCACGTTGGCCTTGGATACAAGTGGTTTTCAAATGGCAAGCCTGCTATAAATTCCTGGTTTGTGAAGCTTCGTTGTTTTCAGGGGTGGTTAGAGTAGCCTAATATCGTACTCAGGTAAAACCATTATTACCTTGTAAGTGTTGCTACCAAGAAAAAAAGCATATTGAGTAGGAGCAAAAAGTATCAGGTAAAAAAAATCATAATTTAAAAAACTGCTTGAGGTCCCTGTAGCTCCCTATAGAACTGCTGTACAACTCAGTATGGCAGTACAGACTATTAGCATAGCTGCTGAAGTTTGTTAGGTCTTTAAAGGTCCTCTCTTCTTGGTATTCCTCTGTCCTAAAAAGGAATGTTAAATTCAGAATTAATTAGGACTTAGATGTGATTAAGATTAAACTGTGTAAAAGTATTTTTAAGTATAGCCCAAAGTGGTGTCATTATTAGCACAATTTAGTTCAATGGATAATACTTTGAATATAAGTCTATACTCAAATTCTAAATCCATCCAAAAACTGAATGATGGGGAATTCTGAGCAGTTTGATGGTAAATGGTCAATTCTAGAGAAGCGTTTAATGCCTCTAATATCTACTTCACAGAAAGTTATTTCATAAAGTGCTCCTGTGCCACAATATTTTTCTTAAAAAGTATCCTTTCATAGCGGTGAGGGCATTGTAAGGCAAAACTATACCCCCTAATGTTTTTATTGTTTTGTTTTGTTTTTCCATTAGTGATTTATATATATATTATATATTTATAGATTCTACACTGAACCATTTCACATCAAACCACTGTTTACATCTCGACAATTGAAAAATGCACAAAATAGTTCCTACCGACTAGAGGTCTGCATTCCTGCAGTATTTTGCGGTGTGGGCCTCATTTTCATCGTCATACATGTTAGAGGGTGGTGAACCTGCTCATTGCGGGCGGGAGCAGGACAAGAAATATGTGTAGAGAAATCCCACAAACTAATGAAGAGCCTAAATAAAATGATTGCAATCCCTTAATTGCCATATATAAATACTATCTAATGGCAAAATAATAAAAGTAATAAATTCATTCTAAATTGAAGTTCTAAACTAGTTCTAAACACGAGCAACCAATTACATGAACAGTCATGTAAAATGCATTCTTGTAGGCAGTAATACCGGTGAAGTCTTCTGACAGTGGCTGCGTCCAAAAACCCTGAAAGTGCTTTTGCTGACCAGTCCTCCTCCTCTCCTCCATGACCTTGACGCCAATTTTGTGATGCCGTCTTACTGGCTGTCTGAATACCAGAGTCTTAACATACATCCCCGTTTTTGCAGTGTTACTGAATAAATCATACATATCAACTGTTCTGAGAGGAACTTCAAAAGGCACAGGTAGATATGTGTATAGTTTTACAGTTAAATGTAATGGCTCCCGTTCTTTCCATTCCTTTCTGTGATTCCTCTGCATTTGTGTGGGCAGGAGAGGTAGGGAGAAGCAGTGCCCAAAGTTTCTGGACGCAGCCACTCAGACGGCCACAGCTGTGCAAAGTGCGCTAGTCTGTCATGTGTCAGTCATTTTAATTTGTGTCTAAGACAGATAGAACCCAGTTACACAGATCTGTGGGCGGGAGCGAGACAAATGGTGCAGATTTAGATTTTCTGCAGGAGCAAGACTGAGAAATCAGTCCTGAGCAGACCTCTGCAATCAACGTCTAGTTCCTTTTGTTTACACTCTGCATTTCCTCATTTTGACTGTTCTTAAGCCTTCAGGACCAACTGTCGCAAATCCAGTCGCCATTGTTAGGCATTTGCCATGAGCTTCTCACCAGTATCCAAACTGGTAAATGTTCCATTTATAAACAGTTTTGGCAAAAAGTGAAAAGAAGCAAAGAAAAAAAATTCACATGTTTCCGCCCGGTTTCGAACCGGGGACCTTTCGCGTGTGAGGCGAACGTGATAACCACTACACTACGGAAACCTTGGTGAAAACCCGTCTCCAGTTTCTCGTTTTGACCACTGAATGCCCTGCTACGACGTCAGGTTAATTGTTTTCGTGTAAAGGAATTGTACGAATCATAATTTATTTTGTTAAGTCAATTTATGTCAGCAAATCGCGTAAAAATGTGCAAAGTGCAGAGGTAGAAAGCCCCATTGAATTCACATGATGTGAAAAGAGTAACATTACTGCAGCTACCTAACTAGCTAACACGGCTGTGTAGTTCTTTGCGATGCGCAGAACGTGTTCAAAGGGACTTCATGTCCCTCGTCCTGTGGTGGAGGCGTAAGTTAGCTAACCATTCGGATTCTGCCGGTTTATCTTCAAACTGAGCAGATAGTTACATCGATTATAACTTATGTGTCTACAGGATGCTCCCATTTCTTATACGTATCATCCATTTGCATGTATGTTCAAAACATCTGTTTAAAATAATCTCATAAAGTTTATAACGCGAGAGTAAAATTCAGATCGAAGGCCGAAACGTCAGATCCCGAACATTAGAGGGCGACGGCGAAATGAAGGCAGACCCATTGCGTCCGTTTTCTCCTGTCCTCTCCTCTTCCTGCTCACGAAACAAAACGACTAGCAGACGAAACCAGGAAGCCACCAGCAGGAGCTTTCGTCGCAGTCTTGATTTGTGGTGAGTTTTGAATAATACGAGTATGAATTAACAGTTATTCTGATAATTTTCAAATTTCGTACATGATTAAGATGTATTTTGGTTATATAAACAGGTTAAATAGCGGTAACTTGCTGCAGCTCCGGTTAGCGCACTCCGTCAGCACCGCTCATGTATGTAGCGGTAATGAAAGCCAGCGTTAGCTAGCTAGCATTCGGTTAGCTTGGTAGCTAGTTGTTGGCCCTTTGTGGCCGCTTGCCACGGCATGTTGTGTTTTTTTTTCAAATTGTGGTTTAACCTCACACAGCACAGCTTGGTCATAGCCTTAGTAGCTAGTGAGACTAGTTGAGTATTCTCAGTGCAAGTGTTGCTCGATAGCTGATAGCATAAAAACGGTAGACATGGCGGAGACGCCAGCTAGTCACCTTCACTTCCTCTTCTGTTTGGTTATTCTTTAAAGTAACATGTCCTGTTAAGCCCGAATTTGTGCGGCGTGCTTCCAGGAAAGACTTATACATCGACTCTGAAAATGAATTCTGATCGATTTGCTTTGGTAAATCGCCAAAATAAGGTGCTGCAAAAATTTACCTCCTTGTTTTTAAAAGTCACGTACTTCTAGCTGCGTAAACAAAACGCAGCGCCACTGTATTTTCATCACTTGTGTTTGGATTTTTTGTAACGTAGCTAAATGGACCACTGTCGACTGCAGCACCGAGCAGCATAAATGTATATTCGGTTTCAGGATGTGGGACGGAAAATGTACAAATAAAGTACAAAATAGCTGTAGCTGTCACGGCTAAAGCATGTAGTTAGGTTAGTGTATATCAGCGTTGTTTCACTTTCGGTTTGAGCGGCAGCAAATCAAGAGAAGAAAAAACAAAGAAAAATCCGGAGTGAGTGTTCAGATTACTTATGCACTGTAATGTCCTGCTGGCTGTGTTGATCAGAGACTGTACAAAAGTCTTCATTTGCATGACACAGAAAAAGCCGCACAGTGGCGGAGATGTAAGCCGCATTTGCAGTGTGCCAGTGCTGAATCACTATTGGGAATCTTTATAGTCCATATTTGTGCTTGATCTTTGTATGGGAACCTGGGCCTGTATTCATGAAGCCTTTCAGAGTAGGCTCTGATCTAAGATCAGATTCCTGTCTTATTCACTTGCATTACTGACAGGGACAGACTCTAGATCTGCACTCCTACTTTGAGAAGCTTCATGAATATGGTCCCTGGCCCTTAAACTTTAGACCTAACACATTTAGTCTGTGTGAGGAAGAGCCATAAAAACGTCATATTAGTCTTGGTCAAAAAATTCATTTTATTCATTTCTTGGTCAAACTTCATTTTATTTCTTACAGAACTGTTTTTGCTTGTAGGGTCTGTTTCCAGTAGCCAAGGAACACAAAAGGACCACCTCTCAAACGTAAAGCAGCCTCATCAAATCCGTCAACAATGGTGAAGATATTTGTTGGCAACGTAGCTTCGGCAACCACAGAAGCAGAGCTCCGTGCTTTGTTTGAGCAGCATGGCACCGTGTCAGACTGTGACATCTTGAAGAACTATGGCTTTGTGCACATGGATGAGGAGGATGCCGCCCAGAAGGCTGTCGCTGCCTTGCACAAGCACGTCCTCAACGGCTCTCGCATCACCGTTGAGTACGCCACCACCAAAGTGCGCAACGCCACCAAGATCTATGTGGGCAATGTGCCTGAGGGTGTCACAGCTGCCAAAATTAAGGAGCTCTTCCAGCCATTTGGCAAAGTGGTGGAGTGTGATATTGTGAAGAATTTTGCTTTTGTTCATATGCAGAGGGAAAATGAGGCCTTGGAGGCCATCAGGGAACTTAATCATTCTAAAGTGGAGGGTCAAAAGATCTTTGTTTCCCTCTCTCGCAGTAACCAAGCCAAAAATGGCCGAGGGGAGGACTATCTCCCCCCTCCTCCCCATCACTATCCACCCCACCCACACCACCACCCTCACTACCTTCCCCCACGCCCTCCGCCCGGCGACTACTATGCGCCCCGTGGTCGACTTCCACCTCCTCCTCTCCCTCCACCGCCTCCCCGCGCCTACTATGAGCGCGAGGCGTATGAGAGGGGCGTTCGGCCCGACCCATATGCCGCTGCCTCCTCGCGTTATTATGAGCGGGATCCCTACGAGCGACGTCTTCCGCCTCCGCAGCGACCGCTTTCTCCTCCTCTCGCCTCTCGCTACTACCGTGAGCGCAGCCCTTTGGGCAGCCGTCGCTCTCTCCTGCCTCCGCCGCCCCCACCACCCTCCTCTGCCGGCTATGCCCGCAGCTACGCCCGCAGCGGCACAGGCTCCGCACCTCCTCCTCCTCCCTCCTCCGCCTCGTCCTCCCACTATCAGCGCTATTCTCTCGGCTCAGGCTTTGATAAAGATGATTACTTGGAGGATAAATACAGCAACGGCTTTGGTCGCGGCTACTAAAATGCACATTGTTCAAGTCCGAGTCCCCGTTTGGAATTGTAGTGTACAAGTGATCTAAGAGGGACATATCTGCAGGGAGTTAGGAAATATTTTATGACGGTTGTAGCTAATTCTGACAACGGGTAGATACTGTATACATTGATTTAACTATAAATTAAATTCAGCTTATTGAAGGATCATGAAATACTGATTTGCATTTGCATTTAGACAGATTTTTATAGTGTATTAAAAGATAGTTGTAGACATATCAGCTTTGAATATTTTTTTTCCACATTCAAAATAGTCGTTTTGTTTTTCTGTCAGGGTTCTTTAAATAAGTGGTGTGTCTTGCATGTTTGTCAGTTTAGATTCTGAAGGAGTGTGAGGGACTGCCTCAGCCTTAGGGCTGAAAAACTAAAGCTTGAGGTACTGTGTAGGCTTCCTCTTATTATTGACTTATGACTAGATGTGTTCTTGAGATCTTTATTTAACTGAAACCCTCCCCACCTTTGCATTGTTCCTAAAGGGTTTTTGTTTAGTATTTAGATGTGGTATGTTATTGACATTTGTCTTGAAGCATGGCATATGACTTGCATGGTTAAGAAAGATAAGGCTCTAATTTGAAGTCAAACAGAAATCTTACCCTGGCTCCAAAGATCTTGACACTGTCCTGCGTAGCTAAGGTTAAGGTTGTTTTTAATTGTAATTATTTATTTATTTTCTTTTGGAAGTCTGTTATGGATGGCTTTGATATGGTCTGAGTGATTCGAAAGGCATTGTTTGAAATGATTTTGCGTGTGAGAGTTGGGATCAGTGTTAAGAGGAAGAGGGAGGATGTGGGTAAATGTGTGGTAGTGGGCGGAGCTGGGCACACACCGACTGATGAACAAATCACATCTTACTGGTCGACCGAGCACGACATCCACCGGCCGCTCAACACTTGGAAACAACGTCACCTCCTAGGATAAAGCACCATCAACTAAAGGAAACTCGGAAAGCAAATGGCCATCCGCTGACCGTCTAAATAAAACAAAACGCTCAGGCTGATTCTTAGGTTGCTTCTCTGTATTCCTAGATAAACTGTGTTTTGCCGGTTAATCGCTACCGCAGACTGAAAATCGTAGCCTCTCTTGACTCTCCAGACATTTAGCGTTACAATACAATGGACGTGCTTGTGATTGAAACCCCAACATTGTAGCTTGTCCCACTTGTACTATTGTTGCCTACGGTCTTATTGTTAAAATACAATTCTGCTTAATATGTACCTCTTAAAAATCTCGACTGTTGATGCGAACCGATATCTTTATAAATTGTTCCACTCAAAATCTTTAACGGTTGTTCGAACGTGAGACGATTTTTGTGCTTGTTTTGGTTACTTAAAAAATAAATTTAGTTATGTGCTAGCAGTCGCTGTCTCCATCTAGCCGCTTAAATAAAACATCGACTGATCTGACTAACGTAACATTTTTCATTTCACTGTTTTTATTTATTTTAAAACTTACTTTTTTTGTTGGTTATTTATTTTTTACAAAAAGGCATTTTTTCTGTTGCCTTTCCGCCCACGTTAACACTCGTTTACTGCAAAGGACCTGTTGAAATCTGGTAAAAAAAAAAAATTCAAATAACAGGCTTGTATGCAGACTTAGCTGCTGATACCACAGCACAGAGGGTGCTTAGAGTCCAAAAGCAGACCAAATGTAACTTGTGAGTTCCCATCACTCAACCCTGCTATTACTGTGTCCCTGCCCCAAGCCCTGGCCAAGGTTAATAAAATATAAGTAGTCCTGTTAAATAACTTTGTAGCTGACTGTGTGGCCTCAGAACATGTAGGTGAGTGAAATAAACAGGTAAGTAATGTTGAAAAGCATTGGTTTTATCTAAACGTTTGTCTTGCTTTTGTGGAACATCTACAGTAGTGTGCAACAGTCAGAGACCCTATTATTTATTTATTTTTTGTTCAAAACAGCCATTAAGTACAGAAAAAGCAGGAAACACATTATCAGAAAATTACACAAAAGCATCCAACACAAGTATAATATCAAATCTTTCAGTATTTAATCTGTCCACTCTTTTTATATTTGTACACCTACAACCACTATTCCATCTTTCTAATCTTAAAGCCAACCAGTTACAGCTGTGTCCTCCCAACAAAAGCTTTTGTTCAAGGTGTCATTGGCATTATATTCCCCTTCAAAGAAACACTAAAATTGACACAAACAACAACCTGAACACACTTTAGCTACCTGCAAATTTCTCTCTCGTCCATCTAAAATGGCTACATGAGATTGGATATAATCCACTTGTATAAGGAAAAGGGAAATCAAAGAAATGTAACAGTTTGAAAAATTGTAATAATAAAAAGATATAGATTAAATAGGATTCCTGACAACTGTTTCAGACCTGGTAGACCACCAAAACTGTCCCCATCAGATAAACAGTACTTAAAGCTTTCAGCTTTGAGAGAGAGCAGAAAATCAAGCTCCACTCTTATTTCAGATCAGAAAAAATCCACAGGCGTTTCTGTCCATCCTTCCACTATGAGAAAACAACTATGTGCTATGGGTCTGGAAGGATGTGTAGTTGTCAAGAAGCCCTTTCTGAGAAAAGAAAAAGAGATAAGAGATTGCACTAGAACACCAAAAATGGACATCAGCGATATAGGTTTTATGGACTGATGAATTTGTAACTGGAATCACTTGGATTGTGTGAAGCTGGAAATGCAACGAACTTCTAACGTTGAAGGTGTAAAAAATATCCTTTCTGATTTCTTTGAAAAATTGAAAGCAAGTCTCATGAAAAGAATGGAAGCCGGAATAAATGCAAACTGTGGACATGCTAAGTTCTGAAAATATATCTAGTTGAATTTTTTTGTTAAATATATTTATTTCTGCCTTTTTCCCCCATAAGTATTTCCATATAAATACTTACTGGCTGTTTTCACTGGAAGTTAAATAAATGAAAGGGTGGTATCTTGTTTTTTGCACAGTACTGTATATGACAATGCTCTTTTTTATGTGTTTTTCCCCTCTAAATTCATCATACTATTGGAGGCAACGATGTAGAGTGGTTGAAATATGGCAGATACTGTACAACCATGTCTGGAATGTGTATTATTTTCCTTGTGTCTCTTAAAGCCTCTAGGACAATGATTGTCATGATTGTCACTTGTGTGATGAGATCATCTAGAAATACGTGTTTTTCAAGATTGAGAACACTTTCTGGTTTGTCAGGTGTTGGGGTCCTTTTGTTTCCTCATGTCAGTGACAAAAAGGCAGCAAATACCATATAATTCTGTGCAACAACATTCTACATTGTTAATAGACTCTGTCTAGCTGTCTTGAGAAATACAGTCTCAACTGCCTGACATTAAAAAAATCAAGGTGTTGAAAGTTAGATGTTCATTCGTAATTAATTAATTACATTTATCTGCAGTTCAAACCCATCACAGGGCATGTTCAGTATATATAGCAAATAGTGAGCAGATTCTCTACAAGGTGATAATAGTAAACACTGACACCTACCTTGTACATGTAAATTGGCCAGTTTATCAGAAACATCTACCACATGGGTGCATTTTGTAGGTTTACAGTTACTGTCTGTAGCCCATCTGTTGCTTGATTACATACCTCAGCAACAGTGCTGGATTGAGTAGTCCACCAACCAGACGGGTGTGTCTAATAAATGGTCAGTAAGTCTGCACGGCATGCAAAATCCCAGCGCCATCTTAGTGCCTTGATGTCATGGTGTCACTACAGCTGAGAATGGTCCTCCTCCATGTGGTCCCTTTCCATTGATTGGTGGGGTAGAGGGGGCTGATCAATTGTGCAGCAACAAATGATCTACAGTCAGTAATTGTAAACCTACAAAGTGCATCTGTATGGTAAAATGCCCAGTCATGGTAGGTAGAAGATGGTGTGCCTAATAAACTGGTGTATAATGTCATTTAAACTAGGCTACAAATAATGTTCCTCAGCTGAGCAAAACGTAATGATGATGGAAGCAGAAACTTATTAATAGTGAGTTTCTTAGAATGAAGACTGGATTTAATAAGAGTAAATAAAAAAGACAAAAGTAAAATTCTAATACATTTTCATTATAAGAGACATTAAAGACTTATCAGTCCATTTATTATCTACCTTATCTACCTATATTCAGTCATTTTATCAGCTACCATACACTCTCTGGGTGCAGGTGTACAATAACAGACTGTAGCCCATGTGCTGCTGCACAATTTATCAGTCCCCATCGCCCTGTCGTTTTAAAATTAGTAGAAAGCGACCACCAGACCGTAGCTAGGCAGATAATATTTAAGTGGTGGATCATTCTCAGCATGTTAATGTGTGTTGCTCTGGTATGAGTGTATCAGGCACAGCAGTGAACTGTGTACACCTTATTGCAACAGTTGCTGCAAATGTTGCTGTGTCAGATACATGTACCAGTGATCTATACTTGTATGCAAAAGTTTGAACACCCCTGGTCAAATGACATGTCTTGTTAGTTTTCAAGTGAAAACAGGTTAGTGTGTTCTCTGTACAGGATATGTTAACTTATTTTAACTTAGAAAACTGACAAAACATGCATTTGGCCAAGGGTTTTCAAACATTTGCATACAACTGAACCTGAAGCTTTTGTGGCACACATCCACGATCATTTGTAAGATGTGGTATCTAATAAATCTGTTTCATTATTTAGCAAGAGATACCAACATTGTCTTCATATTTCATATTTATTTATGGTCTAGGATCTGTTCTTGTCAGTAATGTCATGGTCATTAAGAGAGGAATCTGATCCTTGGTCAGCAGTCCTACTCTGAGAAGCTTTGTGAATACAGGCCATTGACAGCTGGCAGCCAGATGACATCTAAATATTTTGTTGCATCTAGAATTGGAATAAACGGACAGTACAGTAGAAATATGGTAAAGCTATTACAAATCTAATCGTGTTACTCAGGTCCATGACTTTAGACTGGTAAACTGGCTAAACTGGTATTGCAGGTTTGTATTAATAACAGTACTTTTAATGTGGGCTAAGAAGTCAGGTTTATGCCACATTGGCAGTAGAATGTTTTATTTATAAGGGCAAAAGACAGAATGTCTGTCCCATTAATGCTATGAGAGTCTGAAAGGTTCCACACTAGGATAGTCACTTAAAAGTTTTTAATACTGATATGCTGACGATTTCAAGACAGTTCCCTTTGTACTTTATACTTAAATCAATTTTCCATTCATTATTGACCATATTGTGTTTAGCACCAACTGCAATCAGTAAATGGGCCAGTGTAAATCACACTGGTTCTGCTTCTCTGGCATAAACTGACCAGTTAATCATCTTACATTGTAATTGTCTTAATTTTTGTTTGTTTATTTGGACAAAATATACATAAACTAGGTGTAGGGCAACACTGTGAACTGTAACATATTTATGTAACAATTAAGATTTGAGGGCAGGCATCTGAATATGGCTCAATTTATACACACGTGTATATATATATATATATATATATATATATATATATATATATATATATATATATATATATATATATATATATAAAGATTAAGACTTATTCAGTAACTAACAGGAAGGTGGGTAGTTTTGCAAGTGAAGAGTTGAAATGTGGATCTACATGAAGGTTATGGTTTAAAGACTTAACAAACAAAACACAATATAACAGTAAAAGTGATCATGTAGAAATTATAATTTTACAGTATAAATGTGATGTAAATGGTTGAAAACATAGTTTAGTGGTAAAATCACCACCTTTGTAACATTTCAGATGATTAGCTATTTAGAGTAAGCAAATTTGAGAAGCATCTTTTCATTTTCTTCAAATTTTACATATACTTCTGTACTTCTATACCAAAACAAATGATTTTAGAGCACAGCTGCCCAAAATCGGGCCTGCCAGAAAGCTGCTTTACCCCCTCACCCAGTAAAAGAGCAAAGAAGTTTTAGCTATAAGAACTCCCATTTTAAGTACAAAACATATAGTGCAATGTTATAATACTTTTAAAATGTCAATTTGCGATGGACACCACTTTATTTGTACACTGTTATCTTATTTAGGCCTCTGGCCACCATGAACATTAACCTTTGGCTCCCCATGACCAAAAAACCTCCTGTTAACTACCTCAGTATGTTTAAATTTCCATGTTCATTGTGCTTATTCTTTTGTACATTAAATATGCATCTTTGAGTGAATGTGTGTATGAAAATGTGAATAAAAACAACTTAGTTATCATGTGCTTCGGATCTCTTTTGTTCTGAACTATTTTTACGAATCATTGGTCAGTGTATTATAAAAAGTAGTGATTGCATTGTGCAGATGGATGTGTGCATTAATAGGCAGTTCAGTGTTTTTTCAGGCATTCATCAGTTTTAACAGTAAAATTTCTGTCCATATTCATTAAGTTAATGTGGTAGACTTGTGGTATGGCTGTCAAACTCTGACAGTCTGTCACAATTTAGAGTTTCACATTACCCTGAAAACTAACTATTCTGTTTTATTCAGTTACATTAGAGTGGGCTATCGACATGCTGTTATTGCTTGGAAACTAGGGAGCATAAACAGATTAAGCACTGCTGTTAATTTAGGCCACCAGATAAGCAGCTAAAATTACGTCTTGGAGTTAATGGAACATATAAATCTCACAGTGCTGTAACTGCTATTTTAATTTTAATGACTATTCTTCATAACCCAAACCCATTAGACCCTCTCGCAACTCGGTCCCCTCGTCCAGTACGACCAATTGATCTGATCCCTGACTGGAGGTTCAGTCTATCCGTCTCTAGCAGCAGGTCTGAATCTACTCCAGCTAGTGGTCACTCACAGGATGTGCCTCGCTGTTTGCTGCTGTTGCTTTGCACTGAGGCAAATGAAGAGAGCGACCACTCAGAAAACGCATCAACTGCAAACTGAAAAGCCGAATGCAGCTGAGGATAAAACAAGAACAAATATCATTGTAAACCAGGTTCTTACTCTCAATATATAAACACACCGTGCCCGGTATCTGTTTTCATTTCGTCCCCCGCTTTGCTCCAGCACACGTGTTATCAAAGAGCCGTCTTTCATTGTAACAACACACGGAGTTGTGATTTAGCAAAACCGTCCATCACTCCGTTAATAAATAGGGAAAATAATGGAGAAGTTCAAAGCTCCGTCTCTCTTGCGCGCCCTCCATCGGCGAAGACGCGTATTACAGCTCAGTAACAGGAACCAATGGTGCCGCGTGGGTTCATGTGGAAGCGGGAGATTCGAAATTACTGAGACTGAACTTAAACGGAGTGACTTCAAATGTAGGTATTCAGTGTTAGTCTGGATGATCTAATTCCAAATCTTTCTCGACCACTATGTTTAGTACAGTGGAACTGTAAAATCCGTAGCTGTTTATGTGGCTAGTTAGCAACATTTGAGCCACCTGGCTAACGTTACGCTTCTGTGAAGCAGTGCTTATAATGCACTAGTTTCCACGTCTGTTTACTGGTGCAAACAACAGCATATTTTCACAAATCTGCTTTCAATCTGTTGTCTCGCTGACGTAATGATGAACTTCGCTGCTTAAAAAACCCCAAAACCGTGAAATTTTTTCTCTGGGTTCCTGTTTTGTATTGTGTTTGGGCTCTTCTTGATGGGTTGATAGCACAGTGTAGAGTCTAATGGCTAAATATTTGACCTGTGACTGATTCTAAACGCTTTTGAGTGTATTCTAGTAGGATCTAAAGGAGTTGTACAGACACTAGTGGTCTCTACTATTAAGCTAATTCCTACTAACTAAATAAGTTTTAATTCTCACTGATCTTAAGGTCTTTATTCAGCAGGGCTGGCTTTGCTCACCCCTACATACACTATATGTCCAAAAGTATCCAGACACTCCTTCTAATCCAGTTACTTAAGGTGCAACCATACTAACAGACAATTCAGTTATGCACACACAGCTTATATTATCTCCATAGAGAGGCATTTCTAGTAGAATGGGATGCTCTGGAGGATCCGCCATGCCAAGTGTTGGCTAGAGGGATATAAAGCCCCCCCAGCAGTGGAACTGTGTTCTTTGGAGTAATAGAGCTCCATCCAATCCTTTTGGGATGGGTTTGAGTGGCGTTTGTGATCCAGAACTAATCATCCAACATCAGTATCTGACCTCTCTAAATGCTGTTGTGGCTGAGTGCAACTGAATCCTCACAATCATGTTCCAACATCTAGTGTCAAGCCCTACCACAAAAGCAGATGTTGTTACTACAGCAAAGGAAGGACAAAAAACTTGTTAAAACATTTGATTTCAGAAAAAAGACTATGCTAGAGCAGGTGTCTTCAAACTTTTAGACATGTAATGTACCTTCTCTTGTCTCACTGGCATAATAATGACCATGGCCTTTAACATATTTCAGATGCACAGTACTCTGACCTCAGTTGCTCTCAACTCCAGAACGGAGATTCCACTCTTGGGTTTGGGCACGTACAAGCTTCAGGGCCATGGCCAGTTGTTCCAGTCCCTCAGCGCTGCCCTTGATGCAGGATACCGTTCCTTCGACACAGCTGCAGTGTATGGCAATGAAGGTCATCTAGGGCAAGTGATCAGGGAACTGCTGCCCAAGCATGGCCTCTCACGTTCAGATGTGTTCCTCATCAGCAAGCTTGGACCAGCAGACCAGGGTCCAAGGGCTAGAGAGGGCTGCTTGAGAAGTCTGGAACAGTTAGGATGTGAATACATAGACCTGTACTTGGTGCACTGGCCTGGGACTGTAGGTTTAGAGCCAAGTGATCCCTTAAATGCAGAATATCGATGGCAGAGCTGGACTGTGTTGGAGGAATTCCATGCTAGTGGACAGTTCAAAGCCATAGGAGTCTCCAACTACACTGCGGTGCACCTCAAGAAGCTGACTAGAAGTTGCAGAGTGCCTCCAGCAGTCGTGCAGATGGAGTGCCACCCAAGGCTTGTCCAAAGGGAACTGAGGGACATGTGCCAAGAGGCAGGCATTCACTTCCAGGCCTACTCGTCTCTCGGAAAGGGCGCGCTCTTAAAGGAGCCGGAGCTGAAGGCGGTGGCTGAGGGCTGTGGCCGCACCCCAGCTCAGGTACTGCTGAGGTGGGCGGTACAGCAGGGTATCTCTGTTCTGCCTCGCTCTTCACAGCCACAAAGGGTGCAGGAGAATGCCAGAGTATTTGACTTTGAGCTGAGCGAAAAGGAAATGGACAGACTAGGTGCCCTAAACAATGGGACGCGGTTTTGCACAAGAGATTCAACAAATATTGCTTAACTTGGACAGTTGTTTATTTATTTTTAAATGCATATTATTATTATTATTATTATTACAATGAATTGAGCTTCCCTAAGACAAATTTCGTCCAAGTGTTCTTGGCCAGTGAAGTGATTCTTAATCTGAAAACCTAGATTTCTGCATCTAGGCTACATAAACAGCAAGTCAGTTCAGAACTGGACCATCCAGCTTAGGCCTGTACAGTTTGGGTGAAGTCAGCAGCTTAGAGGCATAATTGATATAATAATAAGTAGTACTTTTCTGGATTAGGACAGCGTGTTTACTGAATATATTTAAACCCTAGTGTACTAATTCTGATTGTCATTATTAATTTTAATTAATGCAACTGTAATATGCAATTTAAAAAAGAACTTCTGACATGTGTGATACCATTTGGTTAAGTAAGCAAATAAATAAAAACATCAAGTGCCAAAAAATCAATTTATTGTTGACCACAAATAATGAGGATTCAACAAAGTATTTTACAAACATTTCATCCAATTCACAATATATGTAAAGAAGTATAAATGTATACAAAGAGCTTATGAAAAAAACAAATACTCATATAAACACATTTCAAGTAAGTTATTAGCAAAATGCCCGACAGCTGTAAGATTACGGCACACAGCATTTATGTTGTCCATTTGCAGCGATTTGCTTAACCACAAGATTGGCAGGAACTGTCTTTTCTTTTGCATACAAGGCAATTTAACCAGACTGCTAAAGGCGAGTACTGTGCGTATAAAAGGCTGAGGACAACATACAGCTCCACTATCAGGCAATATATACATGAAGTGGGGAGGGGGTGGAATACAAAACTAAGAGCATGAACTATCATAAACACATAGTTTTCACCCAGGGCTCCTGTTGATGTCTTATTAAAATACGTTCAGCATGAGTGAGCATTTCCAACATCACCAGTTTAAATAAATAAATAAATAAATAAATAAAAGAAAACCCTGAGACGGACCTCACTGAATGAGAACAATACCCGCATCATTGTTAACCACCACTACTCATTACTTCATTCACAGGTTGCTTCACCTAGTTTTGGGATCCTCAAAAGTTATGTACATTTTGTCAACAAAGTTTCTCTAACCTTCAATAATACACAAATATTTTAAGAGCAACATCTATATATAAATTTATAAATGACATCATAAAACAATATCACATCTTACCAAATAAATAATTTAAAAGGTACAGAGTAATAAATAATCCGTAAAATAGGGGTTTCATTTAGAATCTGTGAATTTGAGATTGTCCAGTGTTGTTCACGAATATGAGAGATTGTCGCTTAAGATTGTCAAATTGAAGTAACTCTAAAAATTATTGTTTAAATGAGTTATTGCAGTGGTCAAAAGAGGTGTAGCACCTTGTCCCTCTGTTCACATTTACAAACAGTGTTTTTTTTCTAATGGCTAGTTTGGTTAAGCACTTTATTGAAAAGGCCATACTGGTGACAAACCAGCCTCCATCTTGCTGTTACTTGATCGTTCTCTCTGTTTACTGTCTCGTCTGTGTGGTGTGGCAGTTTTATTCTCTTCCCTCCTCTTCTTTGGATCCCCAGAGAAAAGAGAACCATCCTCGGTTTGTCTGCTTCCCAGGGCTGCTCGCTCTTCTTATGTCCTGGAAACACCAATACATACTTTTTTTTACACACAAATATAAACAATAAATACTGAAGAATAGTACACTAGTGTTTATAATAAAACCTACAAACGCTTGTAGTAGTGCCTTTTGTATTATGTGAACCTGTAATGAAGGATCACACAGGAAATGTCTAAAATGACCTAGATTAAAGTAGACTGAAGTTAATGTTTTTCCTTCTCCTACACCTTTAAAAAAGGGGCTCTTAAAGAGTTCTGTAGCAAAGGCAATGGTAATATATAGAACCATGACAACTTCAATGATTAAACGGTTCATTGCATTATTAAATGGTCCCCTTATGTGATAGAGAACCTGTTGTATAAGGTTATTTAAATAACTGTTTTAAAAATTGTTTTGTATCGCATTATAAAATCCACCACTGACACGCAGTCAAAGAACCTTTCTTCAGTACTATACAGCTCCGTTTTTACAAAGAGTGAAAACAGCTTCCATTTGCAATGCAAGTGTCGCCATCAGTGCTCCATCTTTTTATAAGGCAGTCACATTCAGATTGCAGTTCTAGTACTCCTCCTTATGACTTATACAGAACCTCACCCCTTTATCCAGCCAGGTGTCAAATTCATCACTCATCCTCCTCAGCTGCCGCCCATATTTCTTGGCTTTCCACAGTGCAGCAGGAGCCGACTGGGATCGACCTCGGAATGGAGCTCCATCCCCTGATCCACCGTCCTCTGCTGAAAGCCCGTCCTCGCTGTCCTGCCAGCGACTGACCGTGTACACCTGGGACTCGGAGTACAGCCGAACACGACCCCCAACCTCTGACAGTTCGTCTGGGGAAGCTAAGGGAACATATACCAGATATTTTAAATCTTAGGTTTAAAACAGCAGACACATCGCCTATATTAATATTCATTCATCCTACATATGTTTTTTTTTTTACATTTACATTTTTCTCTATGGGTTAATAATCTTCTCAGTATTTAAGCTAGTGTGTCTCCCAGTGAAGTTCCTGACTGTGACGGATGCTTTGAGAGAGTGGCTGATTTGTACCTGGTGATATGTTGCTTGGCATGCTGTGCTCACTGTCCAGCTGTGGAGAGTCACCATTCTTGCCAGTCTCTGACCAATTGGATTCATCTTGGTCATCCATGGTACTGATGTCATCTTCACTGTGCTTTTCCATTGTGCAAGCTGATGAGGGTGAAATATCACCATAATGTCATCCATGTTAATAGACAGAATGACTTAATAACAGACCAAAACAAGCAAAAGAAACAAAGCTGAAGTTATTCTCCAGCGTCTTATTCGAATTTTCCCGTTCCACCTTAAATGATCCAATTACTTCTCTATACCCGCCAGGCGCCAGAATGTTAAAGAAGCAACTTTTAAGGTGGAAACCAAAATTGGAATAAGAAGCTGGTGAACAGAAAGGCAACATCAGCCTCATGCAATAGTCGACTAGCAACACAGTCCATCATATTACACACGCATGTACATGTAGATGGTAAACCGGTATAAAATCTATTTCAATTAATGTCATATCACTTTATTATAAAAACAACTGTTTAATGAAGGTACACGAAGGAGAAGAAATAAAGATTTAGGAACGCTACCTGTGGTTCTAGATGAATTCCAGCACAATGGGTTGAAAAGCGTTCCTTTCTCTTCAGTCAGTGTTTTAATTACTTTCTTATATCCCTCCTCTTCGCAATTAAAACGAGCTCTCCTCAGTTTCTGCAGGTATTGATTGCTCATGGCATGCGACACACCCAAACAACAAAAGCCAACATGGCTAATTGACAAGTTTTAAATCTAACAAGCGTCTCCCGCCTTCTAACGTTGACATCGCCGATTCAAAATAAAGAACAAAATACAGCACTTTCCGCGACATTTAGTCAAAATGATTGTCTTCGCTTGAAAAGGAGACGCCACCGCTGCTTTATTTTCCCATAAGATTGTGCCTATCGCAACAACGTGGATGATCTCATATCACCCTCGATATCATTGTTGTTGCCCGTCGTCGTTTACAGCAGCGTTTCGCCTCCCGTCCAATCAGGTGCCAGCGTGCTTTCCGGATGAGCCAATCAAAACCCGCTGCTAGGGTGTTTTGAGCCGTTCTCTCGTGTAACGTCACTGTTGCGATAGGGCTTCACGAGCTCGTGCTGTCCCGTGACTTGTTTACTCGCAGCGCTCGCGGGACGCGGTGTGAGCGAACGGAATAGAAAATTACTGAAGAAAAACACTAAGAAATAGAAAATTATTGCCACAAATAAGCTGTTTTATCGAACTCTGAATGAAATGTCCCAGGAAGTGTCTGCCGTGGTACACGGTCCTGCGTTTTATATACACAAAGGACTGTTTACAAGTCTGATTTCAAAAGGATTGAGCTGTCCACAGCTTATTGTGCTTCCTGTGAGACGTATTTATTTAATGATATGTCCTTTCTGTTCATTAAAATGCCTGTAGATTCTAATGACTATAAATAACGAACAAATTGAGAACATTAGTCTGAGACGTGCTTGCCCAGGATTTTTTTCGACAAGGAGTATTTTAACGTTTTTCCTTTTTGACCAGTAGATGGAGACAAATGCCCATGTTTGGTTTTGGCTGTCTGTAATCGCCCATCTCTCATAAGTAGGACTAACAGTGAGACCGAAACATAGGTTTAAGTTTGAGCAGACTGAACAAAACAAGCTCAAAAAGAGAAAGTAATTATTGACTTTTTGAACTGATGAGCTGTAGTTAATTGCACTGGCGTTTTCTAGGCTAAATATATTTCATTTTTATTTCAAAGAACTGGCCTGGTTATTATATCAATACCTACTTCCCTTAAGGCCCTCCAAAGATGCCACCCGTCTTGGGTGAAGCCTTGTACATATTTTCCAATTATATACTTGCCAAGTAAGAAATAAAAAGATGCCAAAATTTCTAAAATTACAGGCGTGTCTGTCTTTTTTTTAAATATAATAATAACTTTCTTTGCCATTACAAGGCCATATTCCAGCAAAAGCTGTTTAGGATTTCAGACAGCCCAGTTGGCAAAAAGTTAGCAAAAATTTTCTGGCCCACTTGTGGGGCACATCCTGGGGTTTGTCCTGGTCCAGTATATGGCTGGGTTCTTGATGCTATCCAGCACCTGACCCCATTCAGGCCCGCATGCCTAATATCTGCCCGAAAGTGAACCAACAATCACGTAGGAAAGCCAGAATCGGCCTAAAACTGTTTGCTCTCTGGGAGGATTTTAAAAATGGTTCAACAGTAACCATGTAGTTTTGGGCCAAAAACATATCTCTGTAGTAATGTAACTTTCATAGATTTACATTATGTAAGTGAGATCTTTTGGGGAAAAATGTGTAATTTGGATTTAGAAAACTGTAATCTAAAATATG